AACGGACTCCGCCTCTGTTGCGTCGCCAAATAACTATAATAAAGACCCCCCACCCACACACACACACACACCATACGTTGCTCCCGTCCTTACCGTTTCATCGTCCCTGCGCATGACGTTGTAGGTTCTCTGCAGACAGTCCATGAGGGCTGGGTGCGCCCGGAAGTACCGGTTCGTCGGAGATTTGAACTCGCTCACCTCGAAGTTCAGAGACAGTGGGACATTTTCGATTCCCTGGGGACAAAATAAGAGAGAGAAATGTTACATTTAATAGTAAAAGTTGAAACATTGAGACTGTATCTTTATAATTCTGTTCTAGAAAGATTTTATTTTAAATGTCTAGGAAGATTTTGACAAATTTTCTAAAAGAAAGATTCTAAAAAAAAATCTTTTAAAATTACCTAATTATTTTTCCTAAAAAATTTTCTTCAAAAAATTTTTTTCCGAAAAGAAATAATAAAAAACAAATTTCCAAAAAAAAATTCCAAAAAATTTACCGAATTTTTTTTACATTTCATTTCATTTTTTATCATTTTATTTTCTAAGAAAATCTTAGCCAGGAGGCTAGTAGAAAGGGTATTCTATGTCTTTTCATCACCTGCGAGTCGTACAGTTCGCTGCCGGTGTTCTTTGGGTCCTGCAACTCAGCGCCCAGACTGGCCGGGTCTCCCACTGGATAAAACATCTCGCCGCTGGGAAATTCCACTTCGAGTAACTCTGGGGAGGGGGAAGGGAGGAGGAGGGTTACAGATGGAACAAGAGGTCGTGGAAAAGCCGCCAGGGGGCCCAAAAACTAATCATTTCTAGGTCTCATCAAGACCTACCCACCTTCATGACAATGTACATAAAGTTCATTGAGTTATGCTGGTCACAGACGGACAGACGGACAAACGGATAGGAAAACGGACGGACGGGCAAACGTTACTGAAAACATAACCCTCTTAGCGAAGGTAAAATTTGTTAGGCAACCATTAGAATTATAGATTATGACATACACTTAAGAAGATATGTATTATCGTTAATTTACCAGCATTTATTTGTTTATCCAAGGACGTTATATCACATGTTGTAGCTCTTGGTGTATCTGTTTACTTGTTTAGTTGATTGGTTAGTCTGTAAGTTGGTTATGAGTTTGTTGGTTGGTGTTTCTGAAACAGGATCTCCAAAACTAATCTATTTCTTTGTGTATTGGAAAAAGTCCTGTTTGTCGCATTCCTTTCCAAGTCATGTAAAATATATACAGCAGACCTCTATATCAATCAATAAACAATGTACCCCCCTAACAGCACCCCCTAACAGCACCCCATAACAGAACCCCTTCCCCTTTAACAACCCCTCTCGCGGGGTTATTTGGGGGTACTGATGATGATGTATATAGACAGTTATCACATACAGGGAAGTTATCGCCACAGCTACTATGGAAAGTCTGTACACGTTTGTGAATTATGGCGACAATTAAACCCACACAGTTGACTTTTAGGGCAGACATTCTTCTATTTTTTTGTGTATTTGAAAAAAAATCCTGTCTGTCGCATTCCTTTCCAAATCATGACATAGCACACCTCTGTATCTAAACTGATATCACATACAGGAAATGTGCACATGTTTGTGAATTATGGCTGCAATTAGATCCACACAGTTGACTTTTACGGCGGACATTCTTCTATTTCTTTGTGTATTTGAAAAAAAATCATGCTTGTCGCATTCCTTTCCAAATCATGACATAGCACACCTCTGTATCTAAATCGTTATCACATACAGGAAATCTTTACATGTTTTACATGAATTATGGCGGCTTCAGCTGTAATTAAATCCACACAGTTGACTTTTAGGGCGGACATTCTTCTATTTCTTTGTGTATTTGAAAAAAAATCCTGTTTGTCTCATTCCTTTCCAAATCATGACATAGCACACCTCTGTATCTAAATCGTTATCACATACAGGAAATCTTTACATGTTTTACATGAATTATGGCGGCTTCAGCTGTAATCAAATCCACGCAGTTGACTTTTAGGGCGGACATTCCGGCGACTTTGCTGGCCTTTATCTCATCTGATACTCACGGTCCAATTAAACCATAACGAACAATAACCCAACAACAAGGGTTGACCGGTCACCATTGATTGTAGGTCCAAAGTGTGGCGATAGCAGATTGACGACAAGTGATTTGTGATTATATAACCACGGAAGCGATAAACTGTTATTGAACATGTAGACAAAAGAAGTGCCAGGTTGAAATTCGTCGACGTTTACTTCTTGCAGATAAAAGAGGGTTTGTTTGATCTCCAAGCAGATGTTTTGGTGGCTGCAAAATACAGTATCAAATTGGCCAGACAGTATCCATTTGCGACCCATACAGTCTGGCCAATGGATACAGCCTGCCCAATGTGACGTCGACACTGTATTTTGCAGCCACCGAAACATCTACTTGCAGATAAGAGAGTTTGTTGATTACTCGCGAAATAACTAGTCTCCTAGTCGACGTCTCCATGCCACCATGCCTTCTTACGTGGGTATGGATCGTAATCTCCAAGCAGATTATACGGAGGCAAGGCGCAGTATCCATTGGCCAGAGGAATGGACACTCTTATAGCCAATGGATACTGTCTTGTAGCCGTATGATCTGCTTAATTAATTGGAGATTACGGATCGTAGAATTCCACAAAAAAGGAAAATAATTTGCCCTCAAATGGACTTACTAAGGTCTATTTTTCACGGTGTTGGAAATTACAGTTAAAACTTGCTTCAAATTACAGTTAAAACTTGCTTCAAATTACAGCTAGAACTTTCAATGCTTCACCTATAAATATAGTAACTTGCCTCCGAAGAAATTTACTTGGAGGTTGCGAAACAGTACTACGCGTTCAAAAATATCTTCATAAACATCGAGTGCAGCACTTGTGTTGCATACATAAAAGGTCTAACCTTTCAAAAAGGCTACAGTAGCTTTGTTAAATCCAGTAAGAGGGAATTTCGCCTGAAGCTGGTATGACGAGAGTTGTGGCCTTTCTCTTTCCAAGAAGCCATGTTTAGCGACTGTCTCTAGAAGTGGGTTATGTGGTGTTGTTGTAAGGTTAGACGTTTCACAGAGATTTCCTCAATCTTTTCTTGCCGTACACGCAAAAGTTCACTTAGATTATGTACCTTTTCAGTGGCTACAAGATCAGAACAGCTGAATGCATAAAAAGTTTTGATCAAATGTATTTTACCGCCATTTTTTGTCTTATTTGGGTCACATTCCAGAATAAAGGTCAGTAACCGGCGCTTATTATTCTGGATATGAGCAAAACAGGTTTTTCTGCCATCTACGTAATCGCCATCTTTTGTCTTTCATTCAATGATTCACCGGGTCTTTGTTATGAAAGATACAGTCTTTCTAGCCTCCGCCATGCCTTTCTACGGGAATACGGATCGTAGAATTCGGCAAAAAGGAGAGTAAAATTGGCTAAGGGAGTCCGGCCGCGGGGAGGTAGTTTCTTTCCCTCCGAAGCGCGGCCAGTCAAACCTACAAGGCGGCCAAACTCCCCTGGCAAATATTCTCCTATATATAGCCAGCGTAGTTAGTCTGGTAGAGACTACAGTCTTGCCGCATAAGTCTTTTCTAGTCGCTCTCTTCGGAAATCTTGAGCGTGCAGGTGTTTCACAAGTCGGGTATAAGATCTAAGATCCTTACAAGCAGTTGTTACCACCTATATATAGGTATGTTTGATCAGCAAAACTCGAACCAGTAAAGCATGGGATATGTCAGTACTGCGCTGGTACATGTAACTCTAGGGCCCAAAATAAGTCTGGTTTTAGCTGCGTAGTGGATTTTGTAACATGCTTTTGAAGTTACAGACTAGTTGAATCCGATTTATATCTAGTTTTGTTGTGGAGTAAAAGTGTAGATTATGTACCAAGCTCTACGAATCTAGCTTGGGGGTTTATGAGTTTTTTTTTTCTGATGACATATTAGTTGTCGTCCTCGGTTTCTTGTGCGACGCCTTCGAAACATGAACAAGCCACGAAAGTAGCGGACAAGAAATCGAGAACTGATATGCCTCAGAGAAATAGCTGCATATATTATAGCACATAATAATTTGTAAGCCCCCCAAAAAATAAAATAGCCTGACAAGCAGGTCATAGTTTACCAATCGGATGTAAGTTGCGTATATAGGATTGGGCCTAATAAAACTGTTGACTCTATATCTAAATTTACAACCTACACATTACACAGAAATTTTCTATTTAGAATGGCAAAAATGCAGCTGATTAGCTTCTACCTAATGACTTAAATCACCGCATTTATATGCAGTGCTAAATATAAATCTTGTTTCATAAGATCATGTTTCATAAGATCACCGTCTTTCTAATCAAAACTAAGGAAGTCAACATTTTCTTTGCCTATTTTTCAAAACAGCGCTCTGTGTAAGCAAAGTTTACCCGTACTGTTGTGGTGACTACAAAGTAGAGTTGTATATCACTGTCTACTCTGCCACAATACACATCTTATTGATCTGTTTTTAATCGTCTAAACGTCACCCGAGTTCTGTAAAGCTGACGTGGACCTCACAAAACCGACGAGGAAACTGTCGGAATTATTCCGAATTTTACTTCCGTGTTTGGTCTGCGTAAATACAACACGACATCCGCTGAGATTGGAGGCGACGGAGTCAATATTTTTGTCATCTTTGTCGACAATTTTCTCCCTCTAGGTCCTGTCTTGAGAGAGAAAGATGATCTAGCCTCCATAGCATGCCAAAAGTGTGGGTTTTGAGGGGTCTTCAGGGTCTTTGGGAGCTTTTATGTGCTATTTTCTGATTGCATATAGACAACATAGCCGGCCTGGTTGAATTACCCCCGAACTGGGCTAATCAGAAAACAGCCGAAGACCACCAAACCCTCAGTTCTATAAGCCTGCTACGGAGGCTAAAGATGATCACCCAGGATAGCCTGAGGGCAAAAAGTCAGAAGGACCAGAGAAAATGGACATACAACGCACCTGCGTATGCCGCCGTCGCGAGTAGGGCGAACGCAGCACAAACTTTCCACAACAACATCTTCTCGCCCTTCCTTCTTTCCAACGCTATTCCGAAGAATCGTGGGTCCCCGACGAATTCTCGACGGGCTACGGGTTGATTTCCGAACTCAAACTCTCAAGGTTTCGCACTTTGCCGGAGAAAACTTGAGAGGAGCGCGCTTGTGGCACCTGCCCTGTCGTCTGTGTCTGATCTGACCGAACCTACCTACCTGGCGGTCTGACCTGTTAGGCGACCCTACACGGTCACGTGACGCCTACGTGCACAATTGCTGCAGGTTCTTAGCAAACCGCTAGGGGATCGCGTGGCGCTTCTGCACAGTCGTGGTGACACCTGTTAAGTGAGCGGTATCGGAATCGTGGTATCTTAGCAACCGTGGTCCCGTGTAGCCTTCCTACGAGCAGATATAAAAGCGATTGAGTTGAAATTGTCCTCTTCAAGGTCTCTTACTAAAATTACAGGAGATAGGAAACTAATTTTCTTCACAGTAAGTCAAACTCTTTGGCAAAAAACTAAAATGACTACTTGTATTTCAAACGCTTCATTTCAAACGTATAAAATGATGAAAAAAATGTGCTAAGAAATGGTAGTAAATGCTCAACATAAAACAGATTTCTATATCCAGAATATTTGCCATCAAATGAATGACGACCTTTATTGCACATATATTGTTGCCACGCCTGGCTAAGTACAGGTCACAACAAACATGACGAACGTATGCGGTTAACAGATACAACATAAAACTATCATTAGATAATTCAAATTGTCGCCTTTCACTTATGAAAGAGGCAAAAGAGCAGTTATGTTTTTCGATGGAAGGTTTGTCTAGTTGCATTAGTGCTCAAGTGTATGGTTAAAGAACATCCTGAAATAAGACAGAGAGAATCAGAGTGGACTTAATCCAGGCTAGCACTGACGTGATGCTGATGAAAGACCTCGGCTCACGCTCTCCAAACTCCCAAATTGGTCTCCATGTCGGAACAGTACTTCACATGTGTACTGAAGTACCCACGAGTGTCCGCTCCGTGCTTAAGTATTCCGCTAGAAAATAACTGTGTACTCTCTTTCGGACCAACTCCCCTGGCATGTTATCTCTCTCTATTTGGCCACTTTCTACTCTTTCTACTACATCATGATGATGAAAGACCTCGCCCAAACCCGTCTCCATGTCCGACCGGCACTTGACGTGTGTGCTGAAGTGCCCACGAGTGTCGGCTCCGTGCTTACTGAGTACTACTAGTGTTCCTAAGCCTTGTTTGCGTTTATCATTAGCGGCTGTTGAGTTGGGGTTTTATCTGCACCAATATGTACTCTCCGAGCACAGGTTTAACTTTAGGCTTCGGCTTATTTTTGACGTGTTTTTAGGCTTTACAATTTAATCGGGCTTTCTTTGTTATCCTGGTATTTTTTATATTAAACGCCAGACCAACCTTCTGGTATTGGCACCTGCCTGGTCAATTCGATATTGTCTTTGCAGCCAACAAAACATCTATTTGAAGATTTATATTTAACACAACTATTTATTTAAGCACGAAGACCTCGAAGTTTGGAGCAGACTGGCCAGATTTAGTAGATTTAGGCCACGCCTACCTTGTATATGAATCGAATGGAATTTGAGTTAAATTTGAGTCAAATCTGACAGCCGACTACCTCCCGACCTATTCCCTAACACCAACCAACCACCAGCCGACCTACCCCTAACTGATTCCCGGAGCCTGGTATAGGCTAGTCTGGAAGCAAAATTGTGACAGAGGCTAAAGCGGCACGCCCTTCACCACACTCACGGACGTGAGCAGTAACTGTTCCGCCCGCTTAGGTAGGAACCCTGACCCGTTCCACCCCCTGGCTACTCTCCAAGCAGGGGTTCCGGGTTTTGGCTTATTTTCGGCGTGTTTTAGGCTTTTTTATCAGGCTTTCATTTTTTTGGGACTGGTATCTTTTTTTACGCCAACCCGACTGGCAGTGTAAAGATACCAGTGCAAAAAGGAAAGCCCGATAAAAAAAGCCTAAAAATAAGGCAAAATCCAAACCTCTGCTTGGAGACTAGTCCCCTGGCGGGGGGCGTCGCTAGTACAAACAGCTTCTCGCACCGCCAAGCCAGGGCTAACCCTGTTATTATGACAACCGAACCGCGTATCTTAACACTTTCCCATTAGGCTGAATAGCTGTAGGCACGACAAGGCTCAGTCAGGGCTCAGTTCGTAAACCGAGATCAACACAGAACCTCCGCAAGCCACGCATGTCATCATAACTTCAGATTGCTGGCGGTTTAATAGTTGGACGACTATTCTGGCAGACTGGCTTGCTGAAGTCGAGGACTAGCTGATATGACGTTTTCCTGAGTTGGACGCGTTTTGAGGCTCAGTCAGGGCTCAGTTTGCAAACCGAGACCAACAGAGAACCTCCGCAAGCCACCAAGTCACCATATAACTTGATCGCTGGCGGATATATAGTTTGGACGACTATATTTGCACGGCTGTGGGTGGGCTTGCTAAAGTCGGGGAGTAGCTACTGTGACGTTCCTGTGAGTTGGACGCGTTTTCTCTTTCCCTTTGAGGCTCAGCGACGACAGAAGCCACCGCAAGCCACCCATGTCACCATATCTTGATCGCTGGCGGCTATTTGGACGACTATGTTTGCAAGACGGTCTTGCCGAAGGCTAGGACTAGCTGATATGGCGTTTTCGTGGGTTGGAAGCGTTTTGAGGCACAGCCAGGACTCAGTATGTAAAACGAGATCGACGGCTACCCATGTTATCATATGTTGATCGCTGGCGGCTATTTAAGTTGGACGACAGACGGGCTTGTCGAAGTCTAGGCGTAGCTGCTGTGACGTTTCTGTGAGTCTGAAGCGCTTCTCCTTCCGCGCTTTGAGAGCTGAGGAAAAGTTTGAGGAAGGCTTAAGGTTGACGCTGTGTCCACATCTCTCCTATCCGCACACAGGGCGTACAGTTTGCCAGTGGTTATACAGACGACCCAGTGTTACTGTGTGGATGGCAGCGTGGGTTCTCTATCCGTGCATGGCGGAACTGTTACTAGTGTGATCAGTGTTGTAAAAACACACGTACGGTACGGCGACATACAGACAACGGAAACATCTTTAAACAAAAGCCGTGCGTGCTAGCGACAAGCAAATCCGGAACCCGACCATGCTCGCACTACCAGAGGAAGGAACGACGGAGGAGGAACAAGACGACTTGAGCCCCTTGCTAAGTAGGAGGCCGTCTCGCCAAGACGTCTCGAGACGCCACCTTAGACGTTTCTCCGTCATGGAACAAGGGAACGCCGACGCGTCTTCGAGTAACTCGAAGTGTCTCCTGCAGCCGCCACTGAGGAAGCACAGCAGTGTAGGACCAGGTATGTGACATTGCGGGGTTCAAGCGCAACCAACTGAGAAGTTTACGAGTCTGGACCTTTTGGCCTTGCTGTTTTAATAGTACGCTGGGTTCGTGAGCTGGCGGACCGGGTTCGAATCCTACTCGCCCCTATATACAGTATGTTTCAGTGGTTCCCATGCCAGCCCTGTGAGTTATGGCAAAATGTGCCTCACAGGGGTAGCGAACTCGAAGATTCAAGGCCGAATCTAAAAAAAGAAAAGGGGTAGTAGTGTAACAGTGGGGTTCAAGCGCCACTTACTAGCCACTCTATAGGGTCTGGACCCTTTAGCCTTGTGATTCGTTCGTTTGGCTCGGCGCAGTTTCGAATTCGGGAACCCTAACCTGAAGACTGTACTGCTTCATTTCCAAGCAGACCTTTATCAAATTGGCCAGGCAGTTACCATTTCGCCATGTTACAAGGTACCATTTCGCCACCCAAGTACATGTAACTGCCTGGTAAATGAATACAGGCGTGCCGATTTGATACTGTCTTTGCAGCCACCAAAAGATCTGTTAGAGATTATGTACTACTCGCCCCCATGTGTGTTTTCAGGTATCCACGTCCGCAGACGCTCTTGTATCGGAGGGCAGTTGCTGACTGCAGGGCCACGGGGCAGGCGCCACTGTCTGGCGAGGGCACGGCCCTTCTTAGCTGCGGTCCAGGGTTCGAATCCCGAAAGCCAGAAGATTGTACTACTCGCCTTCCCTGTGTGTTTCAGGTATCCACGTCCGCAGACGGTCGAGTATCGGAGGGCAGCTGCTGGCTGCAGGGCCGAGGGGCAGGCGCCACTCTCTGGCGGCGGCCGGGCTCTGCGGTCCAGGGATCGAATCCCGAAAGCCAGAAGATTGTACTACTCACCCCCTTTTGTATGTTTCAGGTATCCACGTCCGTAGACGGTCTAGCATCGGCGGGCAGCTGCTGGCTGCAGGGCCGCGGGGCAGGCGCCACTCTCTGGCGGCGGCCGGACTCGCCCTCGCCCTGGTCAGGAGGAAGAGCTCCGTCTATCTGCAACAGACGGTGAGCCGGTGTTTCTTGTTGTGTGTGTTACAAAGTAGAGTGGTGAGGCGGTATCTCTTGTTGCCCTGAATAATTTTATCACGGTGTTGATGATTGAATAGAAAGGTTCTTCATTCACAGCACATTTTTAAACACGTGCTGACGTTTCGATGACCGTCTGTCATCTTCTAAGAACTTTGCTATTCAGTCAGGTATCTCTTGTTGTGTAAGTGTGTGTGTGTGTGTGTGCGTGTGTGTGTGTGTGTGTGTGTGTGTGTGTGTGTGTGTGTGTGTGTGTGTGTGTGTGTGTGTGTGTGTGCGTGCGTGCGTGCGTGTGTTTTGTCTATATAAAATACAGGGGATTCATTCATCAAGCTAACCGACATCTTGCACACGCAGTAGTCCCTCAGTTAGAATATTCCGGCCGCGGAGCCGCATAGTTCCCGTTTAGAATTTTTATTTAGACGTTTGTGTGTGTTTGCCTATATAAAGTACAGTGGATTCATTTGTCAAGCTAACCGACATCTAGCACACTATATACAGTTGTCCCTCTGTATGAAAACATCTGGAGACCCAAAGATCCCGTTTAGAACTTCAAACCTTTCCTAAAGTCTTCAAATAATATCTGTAACATTTCTTCACATGCTTGCCTCCTTTGTTATCAAACGTTGCTAAGTTATGGTGGTCCACATTGAAGAAAGGCCCGTGTTCGCAGATTATGTTGGCTTTTCCCTTGGGCATTCTGCTTTTTATCCTCGATGGTTTTGTGTTATCCTCTTGCTTCATCTACCTAGCTTTCACTTCCACTAAAGGGATTACGCTTCAAGTAGACGCTTAACGGTATTGAATAGTGCGATATCTTACCAGTCACGCAAGAACACGTGCTTGCTATTATCAATAGTATATGCACGATAATACCACAGCAAAAAAGAAGCGCCAACAATACAGACAAAAAGTTTCTTCTCTTGTATGGTACAGTAGATGTAGTGTAGAACTCTTAGTGCGTCACTCTTAGTGTGTCACACGTTTTGTAAAGCCCCTGTCACACATTCAGAACCTTCCCCCGACCACCAGCCGACCAAGATTAGCTAATATTCGGGAACAGGCTGACCAGATTAATGGTACGTCTAGCTTTCTATACGAATCTAATCAAATTTGAGTTAAATTTGAGTCAAATTTAACCCCCGACTACTACTGACATGAAGCAATCGGCTGTCGCAGTCGAAAAGTAGCCGACCAGGCCGAACAAAAACAAGAACCACTGCCGACCTTGGTCCCTAATACCACCCTGAGACAAATTGTATCAAACGGAGAAACACTCGCTACTTTCTGTAGCAATAGTAAACGCAGCTGGTACACATGTAGCAGTTAGCGCAGATAGCGATCTGGGCTGATGACACAGGGTTATTGTTGCGAGTATCCCCCAGTTTTACTGTGGCGATAAAGTTTATACACACACCGGGCGAACACAGGATTGCTCTTATCGATTAAACTCTTCTAACCTGGCTCGTACGGAATTTTGAGGCTCCAAACAACATTTAGCCGGCTTCTGTTAAGTACCACCGTTTCTGGGGTATATATGGGTGGGGCGCAGTCAATACAGTCCTGATGCTGTACATAGTGTTCAGATTGTTCAATTGTATCCCCACATTTCATGGCGGTCGTATTGGACCTTGCAGGGTTCAATCAAGCCCAATTACTTACAAGTGGATAAAACACTGCACCACTAGGTCGTATCAAGAACGTTGTATCACATGAAGCTCCTTGGTCGTATGAAGTTGTAATTGTGCGTTTAGGTTTTGAAAGGGCGGCCCCAAATTTTCTGCTGTGAGTTAGATACGTACATGTAGACTTTAGTCTGAAAACCGTCCAAAAGGCTCTTCTCACACATAAAGGAAAACTTATACTTTATGGTCTTCTTATTGACTATCCAATCATAAAAAGACAGCATTTAGCATATATTTACATAGACATCTTTCTTTCTAATGATTTTATTCTATTTTTATTTTTTGTCTCTCCGTCTCCAGGCGCTCCAGTTACTGCGTAAGTTCCGTCGCGCGGCCCGAGTGGTTCTGGTGTGTGTCCATCTCAATAGGCTGTGTCAGGCGGTACAGAGGTGAGGGGGCAGGGTTTGATCGTTGATTTATTGATAAGTTGTTCGATATCAATTGATTGATTGATCTATTGGTTGATCAGCTAATTAGTTTGATGATTTGTCGGTTCGTTGGTTGGTTGGTTGGTTGGTTGGTTGCATGAATTGGCGTATGGATGATTGATTCATTCATTGACTGATTCATCATCCATTCATTCATTCATTCATTGGTTGGTTATTTGCTCATGCAAAACAGAGTAAAAACAGCAACAGTGTTGGCTATGGAAACACTGTCAGTTCTGTCCCTCCAACAGTAATCCTTAAGTCCTTTCTAAGTAGTAACTAATCGCCTTCTTAACTTACGTCGTGACCTTAAGTCCCTGCCAAGGTCAGGTCTTAACTTGAACATAGAGCCAGGTGAGGTTCTTTCACAGGTTATAGTCCAGGTTTTGTGACCCTAAGCTAGCCTCTACCAGGCTTCGGGAAGCGGCTGGAAAGAGTAGGAATATTCCAAATAGACAGATAACATGCCAGGGGAGTTGGTCAGCTAAAGGACTATAACTGTATCCTTTAGTGGACTAACTTCCCCGGCACGTTGTCTGTCTATTTGACCAATTCCTACTCTTTCCAGCCGCTTCCAGAAGCCTGGTAGAGCCTAGTTGTCACTAACACTTAAATGATTTCTTGCATAATCTCTACGTGTGTCCGGTTTATTTGCGATGAAAGTCAAGAGGCCAAACAACAGAAAACCTGTCCGTCCGTACGCCTAGTCAATCATACTTCATATTAGGGGATGAAATGTTGTTTCCACAAATGTCAGTAAGAAGTGATTTAACTCTAAATCTGCTGAAGCAATACTGATATGACACAAACATGGAGCTTAGAGGAAGAAAAATGGACTTGTTGCCAACAAATTTGAGGATTTCGTCCTTTATAAAAACTTCTTGACATCAATCTTGAATGTAAACATTCGGCTTGTGCGCCATTTTGGACGACACAAAACATTTCTGCTGCCAGGCAACGTTATAATTATTTTTTATATCCTTTCGACATAAGACAGAAGAAGATTTATCAATTCTTTCGTTTCCAAAATTATAGGAGTAAACTAGATAAACAAAAGTACATTAAAATGTACACATGTTTATAAAGCTTAAATCCTGTAAAGGGTCGGAACATTATGCTTCATACGTGTTGCGTGTTTCCAAATGACCTTTACTATCGATTTTGACATTGAAGTGATTTCAAGATGGCGGTTTTTGTTATCGAACCCTTTTCAGGAAGCACACGAATGTACTTTAATGTTTCCCTTTGACCACCTAGCCGTAACGATACTCCAACATGCCACATGTTCTCCCCTTTAAGCAGAGGCATCTAGAAAGAAATCATGTTTTCTGGCCGACAAATGGAATTCTCTATTCTATATACCATAATGTAAATACCAGTATTTCATGCAATTGTTATCCAACTTGCAAAAAATGATTTTAGCTACAGGCATATGTACCAATTTGGCTTCGATGACTGCCATTGTACAGCGTCAATAATAAACCACGAATTCAACAATCGTATTTTTTTTGCAAAAATCACTAATTTTTACCTATTCCCACAGAATAAAGGACAATGAGGCGGACACAGTCAGCTACCTCCCGTCGTCCTTTGCGCGGGGCGGAATGGACAATTTCACAGGAGTGGAGAATCTCATGTTCAACAAGGCGGACTACAAGGCCGATAGAGACGTAAGGAAGAATGTCACAATTTTAGGCACCGATTCCGACCTTAGAACAAATGTAGGTCGTGTATAAGTTCAATATTATAACGATTAGAACAGGAATAGAAAGTGATTCCACATTACAATCGTTAGAAAAGGGTTATAGAACGTGATTCCAACATTCGAACAGGTATAGAGCGTGATTCGAACATTCGAACAGATACAGAACGTGATTCGAACATTAGAACAAGTATTATTCGAACATTCAAACAGGTATACAACGTGATTCGAACATTCTAACCATTAGAATAGATATAGAACATGATTCCGACGTTCGAACAGATAAAGAACGGGGTTCGGACGTTCGAACATGTATAGAGCGTGATTGGGACGTTTGAACATGTGTAGAGCGTGATTCCAACGTGTTTTCGTCAGCTTGAAACCGTTCCGCCCAATAGACAGTGAAGAGAACTGAAAGATGTGAAAGACTCCGCGTGTTCCGTGTCAGGGCTCCGGTATGAGCCCTTTGTTGTGACAAGACAAACCCTCTGGGTTGTAACCAAACATGTTCCGTAAACATGCGCGGCGACGGCGGATTGTTGGGACCAGGTGAGGCGAGGAGATGGCTGTCACCGTGTCCCAGTTTCTATAGACCGCGGCTGTTACATAGTCTGTACTGTACACACTGGTGTGATAATCTCTAACAGATGTTGGACATTCGGAAAAGCTGCATCACAAACAACAGGGCACTCCACAGAAACCATCAAAATGTGTCATTGAATTCCAATCCTCATCATCATTGATTTTAAGGAAATTAGTTCACTTCAAATGGTCGAGATTGAAAACCCCAAATTTAATACCTATTTGGCAGCTGCGTGACTTTACTGGGACCTCAATTTGGCTCCCCGTCCTTTCCTATATGACTTGCTTTCAATCATTCATTCATTCATTCATTCATTCATTCATTCATTCATTCACCTATTCCCTCATTCATTCATTCATTTCCTAATTCATTCACCTATTCCTTCATTCATTCATTTATTCACTAAATCTGCAGTATTGGCTCCTTTGACGTTCCTTTATAACAATGAAGAGATTCATTCATTCATTCATTCACTTACTCAATCTGCAGTATTGGCTCCTTGGTGATGGACGTCCCTTTATAACAATGAGGAGTTTCATTCATTCATTCACTCACTCACTCACTCACTCACTCACTCACTCCCTCACTCACTCACTCACTCATCCACTCACTCATTCATTCATTCGTTCATTCATTCCTCCCGTCCCAGAGCCTCCGTCTGTCCGAGACGTCCCGAGCGGTCCTGATGTCTCCACCGGCCGGCAGGACTGACGACCAGATCGACCATGTGAGACCCTGTCTTCTTTTCTTTACTTTAATCTCCAAGCAGATCATACGGTGACAAGACAGTATCCATTGGTCAGAGGAGTGTCCATTAGCCACCGAAGGTGGCCTTGCCAACTCCTCTGCGTGGCTAATAGATCGATCTTGTCACCGAAAGGGATCTGCTTGGAGACTAGACAGTTCACTTCAGAGATTCAAATATGCAACTTGGGTTAGTTTAGCCATCCTTAGAGATATACACATTAGCGGAACTCGAAATTTAAAAAGCTCTCTCTCCCAAGTTAAGAGGTACACACGCCTATCATCTTGTGATCGCTCTTTACTTCACTCGAGGTATCAAATCTGCATTTGACCACTCCAAATACTAGTAAGTTGTTTGCCTTGTACAAGAGAGACGTTCTGGAGTATTAAGTGCCACTGGAGTGTTCTTAAACTCTTAAAAAGCGTTCTAAAAGAACTAGGTGATTTCTTCCATCAGTATGTATCGCTCTCAAGAATTTCTCATTAGGCGTTTTTTTTTTTGTCATTTAGCTTTTAATGCGTAAGTTTCATGTTCCTGAACATTGACATTGTCCGTTGGTCCTGTGCAGGTACTTGTGGAGCTGCGGAGGTTCAAAACGTTCAGTCAGAACCCGATCAGCATGCAGAAAACTTTCTGCAAGTTCGGCTTCTACCAGAGGTAAGGGTTTATCGCACCTGTTGTCTATATAGAATGAAAGACCTTTATTGTACATTTTTGCTCATTTCAAACTAAGTACAGGTCATTGTAAATAGCGATGGTAGACAAAAATATATCTATAGTAAGATATATAGATTGCTTGTATATGTACAGGTTTTACTGTATATCGAGGTATATCTGGAGACTGTAATCTCCGAGCAGATTCTAGGGTGGCAAAAGACAGTATCAAGTTGGCCATGCAGTATCCATTGGCCAGAGAGTCCAGTACGTATTGGACCCTCTCTGGCCAATTTTATACTGTATTTTGCCACCATAGGGTCTGCTTGGAGATTAGGTTGACTGTACGATGCAGGACGCTGTCGTCCCTACACTTACCGAATGTTTTCTCACTTCGATTTGTTGCAGTTACGGGCCAAAACGCGCCATTGTGAGACAGGGGCAGATTTCTCGTCTCTTTTACGTCATTATTTCCGGCTCAGGTAAGTAAAGAAAAATTTACGTCATTTCCGAACATTTGTCATTGTCGCCGTTAAATAGCCTGTCAGTTAATTTTCGATCCGAACAACAGACCGACGCGAAAGCTGTTTTCGTAGAGAGCTTAAAGGCAGGTTGTGTACTTTGTGTATTAACGAAATAACAGTCGCATAGTGAAAACAGGTCTGACTACTGTAGCAAAAATATCTTCTGTTTTCCCTCAAATGTGGTGGCGTATTTGAAATGGTTGCATTATATTAACGAATCACTTGCTGCAAAAAATACAATACAAAAAAATAGAAATACTAGTAGTAGGCAGTCATGTAAGAGAAACCAGATTAACATAGCCCCAACACTTGTCTGGTGTCTGTTTTTTTCTCATCGAAATTTACCAAAAGCAAGAACAGGGCAAGTATGAGATTTGCTTCGTGCTATATGCTGATCGTTCTTTGTAATATGTAATGGTAGAAATACTAATTAGCCCCTTTCTTAAGAATCTAACGCTGCCGGTTCATTGCTCGAACCATAATTGAAGAATCACAGAATCCGTTTTTGGTTGTGCAGCCATAGTGACGACGTGGGACGCCGACGCGCACAGACTCACGGTACAGGAGCTCAGGAGGCCCGGGGACACTTTCGGGGTGAGCGCGGTTTCTGGGACCCTATCTAGCTCTTCAACCACTTAAAGTGTCTGGTCCTTCGCTGTTTGTATAGTTTATACTATCTCTCTTTCCCCTCCTCATCTCCCCCTCCTTCCCTTCTCTCTCTCTCTCTCTCTCTCTCTCTCTCCCTGTATGTACATATGTATTTGTTTGTTTGTGTGTGTGTGTGTGTGTGTGTGTGTGTGTGTGTGTGTGTGTGTGTGTGTGTGTGTGTGCTTGTGTATGTCTCTGTCAGTGTGTGTGACAGTGTGTGTTCGCGTGTGTGTGTATGCATGTACCAGTTTATGTATACGAGCGATTGCTGTTTTGTTTACACCATATGTACATGCAAAATATTTGAAAACATATACAAAGTACCCCTTACGACGTCTACACGAACTGCAGCCTAACTCTAAACTGTTTCAGGAGCTGACTAACTCCGCCCTCCGGGAGAAACGGCAGACGTCAATCATCTCCAGGGGCGACATCGAGCTGCTGTCCATCAGCGCTGAGGTGGGTGGGACTTCTTGTCTATCAATTACAGTTTACGTTTTTGTTAATGTATCCTCTCAGTATGTGTAAGTGGTAGCGTTAAAATAAGTTTTAGTTACTGGGGTGCGCTGCCACTTTGTGATGTACTTTGTTCCTTAATGTGTGAACAATAAATAAAAAAAACAGGTGAGACCGTATCCAATATGTAGGCCACCATTGATTGGGTTGGCTGTCAGAAAACGGTACATAAAAAAAGGGGCACAATCCCGACAGAATTTCTGTGGAGAGTACTTCTAAAAGTAGCGTTAACGTTACAGGTGCCACAACCAGTATAGTGAGTTGTCATGATCGTCAGATCCGATAGGTGTCGTTGCTGCATTGAGAATGTTCGAAAGTCTGGGTGTCAACCTGTTTAGTGGTTGTATAATCTCTTCTTGCCAGTTGGGAGTTAAGCCTTAGTAACCAATACGTCACTAAACATCGGCCTAGACTGGATTCCAGGCTGACTCCAGGGTCTACACAGGCCAGCTCCTCGGCTCCGGGGCCAACATACCCCCGGGGAAATACTTAACACCCAAACTCGGGATATGGACATATATATTTCTTCCTCCGAAGGGTAGACCAGAAAGGATTGCTATCGCCTCTCGTGCTATGTGTCTACATCTAGTCACACAGCGAAGATAGAGAATAAAGAGCCTGTTGTTGTCAGCCTCACTACATTACATTGTCGAGCGCAAAGAATGTAAGTGGGACAGGTGAGGGAACAGGTGTAACTACTCCTCCCCGTGTGACGACGCCCCAGCACCCTGGCACCCCGGTTTTGTGTTCGTTTAGTACCGTGTGAGGGAGCTAAAGTCTTCCAGATCGGTTTGACACCTTAGGAACTGTCTGTGACACCTCAAGTGTCATCTGTGTTAACAAGTCGAAATGAGGCATGTCTAGCCTCTACCTAGCCTCTACCAGGCTTCAGAAGCGGCTGGAATTGACCAAATGGACAGATAACAGCCTCTACCAGGCTTGGGGAGACGGCTGAAAAGAGTAGAAATCGGCCAAATAGAGAGGTAACATGCCGGGGGAGTTGGTCCTCTAGACAGTACAGTTTGCCGCACCTAAAGAAATGTACTCTCTAGCAGACCAATTCCACTGGTATGTAATCTGTCTATTTGGCCAAATTCTACTCTTGCCAACCACCTCCCGAAGCCTGGTAGAGGCTATGCCAGTTGAGTTGGTCCGCATAAAGGAATGCAGTTTGCCGCTTATACCTTTTTTGCGAAATTTTGCAAACAAACAGACAAACTGCAAAATATATGTTGATCCCTTTTGCCTTGCAAGTTTAAGTTTAAGTTTAGAATTTTGTAATTGTTTCGTCGCTATCAAACAATCCATGGAGCCGTTGCACCAACAGTGTTCTGCACTCTGCAAACTCACACAGGACAACCCGAACGTAACGGCAACATGGCGAATAAAAGTCGGACTCGGTTATAGATAGAAACCTTAGCCTCTACCAGGCTTCGGGAGGCAGCTGGAAAGAGTAGAAATTGGCCAAATAGAGAGATAACATGCCAGGAGAGTTGGTCCGCTAGAGAGTACAGTTTGCCGCTTGGTGGTCGGTTTACCGGTTATACGAAATTTTGCAAACAAACTTACTAACTAACTAACAAACAAAACAAGCCCCTTTTACCTTGCAAGTTTAAGTTTAAGTTTAAGTTTAGAATTTTGTAATTGTTTCGTCGCCATTCAACTATCTATGGAGCCGTTGCACCAACAGTGTTCTGCTCTCTGCAAACTCACACAGGGCAAGCCGAACGGAACGGCAACATGGCGAAAAAAAGTCGGACTCGGTTACAGACATAAATCCTCAAGTCGTTTTAAAAACAACACGTCGAGCCTTGAATGAGTCCAGTCTCATATTTCATCGGAATATCACAACATCTCCGTGGCCATTGTTGTAAAGAAAGGCTCGTCTCACTAACATATACGCAAACACGATATCGGGTATCACAATGTGGTTACCACACACCGACTTACTCTCCAAGCAGAGGTTTGGGTTTTGGCTTATTATTGTTAGTCTCTACCAGACTAACTACGCTGGCTATATATAGGAGAATATTTTCCATGGGAGTTTGGCCGCCTTGGGGTTTGACTGGCCTCGGAGGGAAAGAAACTACCTCCCCGCGGCCGGATTCCCTTGGCCAATTTTACTCTCTTTTTTGCCGAATTCTACGATCCATATTCCCATAGAAAGGTCTGGTGGAGGCTATATTTTTGACGTGTATTTAGTCTTTTTTTATCGGCCTTTCTTTTTGCACTGGTATCTTGTTTTACGCCAACCCAAAAAGAAAGAAAAAAATACCAGCGTAAAAAAACAAAGCCCGATAAAAAAGCCTAAAAACGCGACAAAAATAAGCCAAAACCCAAACCTCTGCTTGGAGAGTAACACCAACTACGATTTTAATATATTAAACATGATACAGGGCCATTCAATACTCGGTTGGTCTGCATCAGTTAGGTTACCTAGCAACAGCGTTAAAACGCTTCGCTCCGCCCCCTGACTCTGAATGGACGGGTCCGAAAGGTGTGAATGGACGTCCGGTGTTCTAGCCGACTTGCGGTGAAAGCGCCCTGGGTAAGAGATTACCTGTGGCCAAGTCGGGCCGCATTACTTCTACAGTGTTTAACTAGTCACGGCCTGGTTTACAGGTCTTACTACTGTGCCATATAGTACTAGCGGCTGGCTGCGTGTACTGTATGTGTGTGTGTTTTCTCTCGCTACGCTGAGCAGACCTAGTCTCTACCAGACTAACTACGCTGGCTGTTTATACATAGGAGAATATTTGCCAGGGGAGTTTGGCCGCCTTGTAGGTTTGACTGGCCGCGCTCGGAGGGAAAGAAACAACGGTCCCGCGGCCGGACTCCCTGGCCACATTCATACTCCTTTTTTTGCCGAATTCTACGATCCGTATCCCTGTAGAAAGGCCTGGTTGAGGCTAGAGTAGCGTGAAGTCTGTGTATGCCGTAATTTAACGTTGTGCTGATGGAGTCGTGGCGGCTGTCCCGTGTACAGGACCTGGTGGACAGGGCTACCGCCAGCATGCCGCCGGAGAACACGCTGGTCAGCGCCGGAGACTTCGTCAAGAGCCCTTTCCTCAGGTGAGAACATCTTTCAGGTTCTTCCGTAATTCCTCATGTTTTCACGGTACTGTTACGTTCACTGTTTTCACTGTCACTTCTGTACCATGAACTTATAATTCGGTTAACAAGATCGATCCTGGACTTTCTTGTTCCTGCACCTGTCGCCACAATGAATATATAGTTCCGTGAACATGTCCATTTTTCTCAGACCGTGAACGTTTGCTACCGTGAACATAAAGTGAATTACAGTCTTATGTCTCTTAAGAAATTAAGGTGGGTAACAAGACAGTCGGCTGGAAAGAGTATAAATCGGCCAAATAGAGAGATAACATGCCAGTGGAGTTTGTCTGCGGGGAGAAAACATTTTGTCACAAAATGTCTCTCTATTTGGCGGATTTCTACTCTTTCCAGCCGCCTCAGTACTGAGCATACATGTACTATAGACTAAATTAGATTGAGTGGACAGCCTGAAATAGACAGGCATCAAACGTGAACATGGATTTGAGTCAAATATCACAACAATGTGTACGGGACTGGTATAAATTTTAACCGATAACCTTTTGCGAGAAACAGTATTTTGGGTTGAAAGGCACCAAAACTGAAATTACTTTACTTGTCTTTTAAGTCTCTTAAGAAATTAAGGTGCTTAACAAGACATTTATATGACTCTTGAGGTGACTTTTGGACAGTTATCGCACTATACTGTTTGCGGTTGCAAACGGTAGTGTGTTAATGTGTTTTCTTATCAGAAAAGAAAATGTGAAGGAGGTTCATTAATGTCTTAAAGATTTGTTCTGTTCCAACTCAAGACACTTCTCAGTTAGACACCATAAAATCTTAAAGATTCTCCCTCTTTAAGTCGGTCTTAGCGTTTCTTAGCGAGGCCCTTAGAATCGAGGAAAACAAAACACTGAGGAAAAATAAACAGTGTCAAGTGTCCTTGCCGAAATCTGTTGACAAGCGGAGATACAATGGCTGTAGGAATTCTACATGTTTGTGTTGGGGCTGCCAGGTAAGATGGCTATTGTCTTCGCTGTGTTCTTACAAGACTCAAGACACACAAGGCACCGCCTCGCTCCCACCTTCCCCAACACTCCATGGGAACTTTCTGTAAATACACCTTCTCAAAACAACGTCTTGAGGCCTTTTACCCAAGACGCGCCAATTTCTGGGTGCTTAGGTGTGGGAGGGAACTGGAGAGAAGTTTACGTTTACGTGTTAAGCGTACTCTCCAAGCAGAGGTTTGGTATAATACAGATACCGTTACATATATACATCGTCAAGTACAAGTAACTACAATTAAGTAAATTCGGTTTCTTCTCGTTTCTTAGTGATGGCAAAAAGGTAAGAACAGGTATGTTTAAATATAGAAGGTAATAAACTCGGACGATATGCCAAAATGCTTTATGGTAACCTTTGGCCGAGGTTGCAAGCTTCAAGTGCTTGGTACGCTTTCTAATAGTTGCCCACTATGTGTCATTGCCGAGCTAACATTATTGCTTCTATACACTATAACTATCTATATGTGTCACCTGAAGTTGTCAACCAAATAAAGGGTTTGTGACAAGTATTAACATCTATGTGTGCAGAGGATTTAACGTATATTTGCACATTGCAACGTGTTTACTACTCCATTGTGTGTTGAACGTGATATTTCCTAGTTATAAGGATTAACAATTAGTAATAGTCGGCACGACAATACATAAAGTCGCAGGTTGATTATTACAACATAAGGTTTGGTAAATTTCCGGACGTGCTAGTTTGGGTAGTACCAAACCCTGATGCTATACGCGTGTCGTATCCATGGAGATGGTTTGTAAACTTTGTTCTCTCTCAATGGGAACAGATGGGCTTGAAATCAAAGGTGGTCCAATGGCCACTGACCACTAAAATTTAGGCTGGGACAACTAAAAAGACAGTTTGGGACATTTTTGGGACAATCGAACCATTGTGGAACCACCCTGACCGAATTATGTAGAAATGAACGGAGAGAGAAAAGGATTGATGAATAGATTGATAAACTTAAAGTTTATTGCACAAAAATTGTAACTTACAGTAACAATGGAAGACAAAGCGTTTGATAGATTAGATTTGCAAGACTATGGCTACTCACATTAATATAATAAAATCTAAACACAGATTCTAAGCTATAAACTATTGATAGAAGACACAATGTACATTGATCTTTCTCTGTTTTTGCAGGGGTCTGGATTTTCTCCAGGACTGGCCGGTGGGAGTTCTAGAGGAGAGTCCGGAAAGCTGCATGTTTCAGTACGCACTGTGAGTTGTGGTACATTCTTTTAAAAGGAAAAAAAAGTTCTTTTGTGTTGCACATGATTTTATTACAAAGATCGAGGAAATGAGTAGAACTAATCTCTAAGCAGATTTTTAGGTAGCCAAATCGGTATCCAATACAATGTATATGAAACACTTTTAAACTATAAACTCCTTGGATACTGTAGCACCTTTTTTACCTTCGCCAAGAAGGTTATGTTTTCAGTAGCGTTTGTCTGTGTGTGTGTGTGTGGGGGTGTGTGTTTGTGTGTGTGTGGTTTAGCAAGATAACTCGAGAAGCAGTGGATGGATTGGAATGAAACTTGGTAGGTGGGTATGACTTCATGAGACCTAGAAATGATTATTCTTCCTTCATTCGGACATCATTCCTGCTTCCTCTTAAAAGCTTACAAACAATTAACGACGAAGAGAGCCTTTATGGAGTGGTTAATACTATGTAAAACAAAATTTTATCCACCTTTTCAACTTACAAATCCACTTGATAAGCTCTTAAAATCCCCACTACACTACACTGCGTTAAGATCTAGGGTACCTGTTCGCCAGTAGTGGCGGCTATACCGTAAACAGAACCGTGCCTATATATCTAGTTCTATGTCTCAGAATAGGTTAGGGTTAGGATCAGACACAGTTCAACTTCTGAATAGTCTCCGTGTATCCAAGAACGTACTAGATTTTGCCCCATGCCCCTGTTTTGAATACGCCACAGTGTCCTATCCATATCTACATGTAAGCATGGTTCTGGACAAAGCACGGTTCTGGAAACAACAGTCTTGCTGCTTGAGTTGTGTTCTCTGACCTTGAAAATAATTGGTCTGAAGAGCTTTGCGGGTGACAGACTAAAGTAGCTCCGTAAAATCTCAAGAATGACCGAACATGTTAAGAGGTTTTTCGAGTGGTTATTTGGAGACCTTCTGTCAAAACATGGCGCCAGTTGTTTTTGTTGTTGTTGTTTTGACGATGATAAAATCAGTGTATTTTCCACGTCAATTTTCTAAAACTTCCAAGGTGCCAAGGCGATGTGAATAGACAGAAACCTTAAAGTACAAAATGTAGTAATCAGCCTTAATTTACAACATTCCACCTGTGTTGCTAATAACTACGCAAAGATGCTAACAAATTTTTCCTGTGTTAACGTTACACTCCTCCAGGAGAGGCTCTGTTCTCACCAAGGACAGTCAGAAGTCAGACTGGATCTACGTCATCACTACGGTAAGGGACAGCTTTCTTATCTTCAAGCAGATGTAAGAGAGTATCTCGAAACTTCCATCCTATGTTTCATCCTGGTTATCTTGGTAAAAGGCCCCTAGTTATGTACTTCAATATACAGTCTCTTTCTCTCCCTTATAAATGTGTCGGTACATTTTAGGAGGCCCGACTGTTGGCAGATTGGCAGAATAGCCCGTCCCTGATCGAATGCTGTTCCATATCGAACACTGTTCTATGTCGAACACACGTTCTATTTCGAACGGAGGTGTTCGAAATAGAACATGGAATTCTAAATAGAACAAGGAGTTAGAAATAGAACAGGGGGTTCGACGTGTTCGACTGGGATTGGCCTTGACACCGGGCAGTTTCAGAACGTTACAATGTTTCCTCCCTGTATCTGCTTGGAGACTGTACATTCCATCCTCTTTAGTTTAGCAATGACCTCGGTGACCATGAAACGGTGGGAGTCATGGGTCTCCAGTCGTCTGTAACGCGTTGCCATGGCAACGTTGGAAACGTACCTCCCCTACACGAGACTCACACGACTACGTTTTGTATCGTCCTAAACAAAGGAAACTTTCTTTTTCCACTTAAGCCTAACACATTTATGCTAACGTTACATACATTTCGCTTGTCGTATAGAGATTTTCTTAAGGGCTGTCCTCGAAAATCCAGCAACAGAAACATCTAAAAAGGAAGCGTTTGAAATTTGATATGTTTATTTGTTTATCCTTGTTAAGTCAGCTGGACTTTGTTACAAAGCTTTTAATCCTTGGATACTTGTCTGTTAATCCTTGTTTTGTCAACGGGATTATCTGGATTTAGCCTGGATACCAAACTTATTTTAACTGCCCAGTCTCTTTCGTCCTCTTCGCAAATAGAGGACGAATTCGAAAGAAACGCGGCAGCGAAAATAGTTTTGGTGACAAGGGTGATGTCGACTAGCTTCTCGAATGGATGAGTAAAATTCCTACATTTCCAAGGAGACGTACACCAAGATAGTGTGTCCTTGTTTCACCTTCTTAAACTTAAAATCATCCCTCCTTAACAGGGGAGCTGCACGGTCCTTAAGGAACTGAAACTGGTCCAAGTCACCGGGAAGAAGAGAGGCAAACGGAAGAGAAGCGTATTAGACGATTCTGAAGGTACGCAATTCCTGGCTAGATGGCAGTTACAGTATTTGTCCAATCCAATATCAATGGAATGTCAGACGAAATTCATTTCATCTCTAACTGTCCATTTTATGACGACATCAGAAAACAATTATTTAGCACTGTGTCCAAAATGCTCCCTTACTTCCCCACCATTCCTTACCACAAAAAAACAATTTTACTAATAAAATCAAAGAACCCACATATTATAGAAGAAGTGGGTAAATTCGTCTTCCACTGCCTAAAAAGAAGAAGTCAAACCCAGTAAAACTAGTACCATGCATGTTGTAGAATATAGTATAATGCTAGACGTAGATATAGTCTCACATACCACTGTATTTTCTTTCTTGATGTTGTTTGTAACTGCAATTAGCCCTCGGGCATGTATTTGCAATAAACTTTCTCATCAATATATTTTGTTTGTATCGTACTGTTGATTGGCTATCACCACATGAAAAGATATGCAACTAGCATATATATTATATCGTTAGTGTTACAAAAATCAACTTTCCGAGCGTTCTATAACATTTCGTTGCAGTTGTGCACAAATTAAAACTTTAACCGTGAATAAATTAATCAAATACAGAAACTATGTCATCGATCCTTTTAACGTTTTTCAATATTTGTTTTCAGTGATAGACAAGTTTCGGCAGGCGCACTTGAGCAAGTCTCTCCCACCTCTCTCACATCGCTACAGCGACAGGAAGACGGTACAGAAAATAACAAAAACAAACAAACAACAAACTACCGAACAAACAACAACGCAAAACAACAACAACCTCCAAAAACTCACCGACTGGAGTAACAATACTCACAAATCTCTCACAGTAGACGACGAAGAACTTAGACGAACACAGTCAAAACTGTCTGATATATCTGAAGAGAAAGACAGCGTTATAGATAGAACAGAAGCCGAGAAAAAAGACGGACAGACTAACACAGAAGAACCCATCCCGGCTATACAAGTGACCAGTGCCAGTCCAGAGAGGATTCCGTATGAAAGACCTTTGAAAAAGCAGTTGTCGATAAGGTTGCCGGCTTTGGTAGACTCACCTGAAGTTAATACAGAGATCGACAGAGTCGACCCTGCGAATTCGAAAGGGACGGATGGACCGTCAAGGATACCGAAGCTACCAGTCCTTGAAATGAGCCGGGTAAGGTTTTATGTTCATCACTTTTATTTCAAGAATAGAAGAACTATTTTATCATACTAGCTTATCGACTATGTTGTGTCTAAAAAGTTAACACTAGGACCAAGTCATAATCGTAATACGCGCAAACTTATGGCATTCTTCAATGGGATAAGATTGTTAAAAATCGTACATTTAACTGTCTTGCTACTGCCTTAGACACTTTTTCTGAGTAAAGAGACTCTTTTTACACAACCAAGTCTTTTATTCAGCCGACGTTTCGTTGACAGTCTGTCACCTTCCTCAGGGACTGGTTCACATTGCACTGTAGCACAGGTGGTGCTGCTATCATCGGCTGAATAAAAGACTTGGTTGTGTAAAAAGAGTCTCTTTACTCAGTGTCTTATCAAACTGATGAAACTATTCACGGAACATCTCTTTCTCCCCAACAGGGGGCGTATTTCGTCCAAACACCTCGGCCTCGGCCCGACGGCCCCGGGAAGCAGGTGACGTCACGCGTCGGCCGTGACGTCAGGGGTAACGACAAGCCGGCCAGAGTCGGCAGGGCCAAAACTATCGTGCAATCTAGGGTACAGCAGGGTCCGAGAGGCATGGACGCTATTTCACAAGGTATTAGACTGTATCATCAATCATTCACCAATCCATCATTTGATTAATAAATCAAGCCTCTGTCTGCACAGAATTTGTGGTAAAAATGGTATAAATATGAATTAAAAAAAGCTTCAAACTTCAATGATGTGCAAACAATATATGTAATATCTTTGGGACCGCATTTGTATTTTATTTATTAATACTGCAGCAGCGACACCTAGTTGCAGTACGAAGTATAACAAGTGTCGGCTTGTAAAAACCTTGGTTGTGGATACCTTTGTTATATAGTCCCTTACCATGTAATCAAAGGATTCACGGAAAAATATTTTTCAGTTGCTGCTCACAACCGGCCGCGGAGAAAACTGCCGCAGGGCCTCACGGGTAAGAAACGGGTGACGTCACGGCCAGGAAAACCACAGGTAGTTTTGAGAAACCTTAAATATGATAAATATAGTAAAAAGATGAATAATAAGGCCAGGGATTTCATTCAGCAAATAAGGTCAATGACCTGAACCAGACGTCAGTCACCATGGTAACTAGTGTTGGGTTACATCATGTTGCAATTTTATAGTAGGAGGGATTTAGACCCCAGTCACCGTATATATGAATGTGTTTGAGTAAGAATTAACAGAGCAGGCCATATGCGAAGGTAAACATTATGCATTTGCTTTCTAGTGTTCAGTGTTGAAGTATAATTGTACTAAAAAAATCAATGGACAAAACAACATTATGCATTTGCTTTGCAAATGTTACCTTTCTAACATTTTGTTGTTATCACCTTTCCAGCTCCCGGCCCTGACGAAAACAAGACCAGCGCCTACTGAGAACAAGTCGGTGTTCGTGACGGTCAAAACGCTGGGGAAGGGGGCCGTCTTCGTGAGTTAACTTTCTCATGTTGCTTGGAAAAATATTTTTTTTCACGCTAACAACAGGCGTCTTAATTGCACTTGGTTAAATGATTTCTTCGGGTTTTGTCCAAAGATCTGTTTCTACTCGTCTTAAAGTCAGTACTTGAAAAACTGTTCAAGTAAATTTCGAACGCTAAAAGAAACCAGTTGTTGTACTGAGAGGTTGTAGATATAGATGACAACAATCAGTTCCTGGATGTCTCTCTTTTCTCAGTCTGTTAGTTCGTCATTTAGTCGATCTTGTCTCAATAGTGCGCTTATTCTAATGATAAAAAGAAAAGCTGTTTAAGGTTTATTCATATAAATTGTAGCCTTGAGGTGCATTCGGACCTTGTTACATGACGACAATCAAGGAGTAAAATTACAGCACTACTGTGTGTTTTAGGGTCTGTCCGACTTCCTGTTTGATGAGCAGCCGAGTCTGATCCTGGTGAGTAACGGTGCCGAGTGTGTGATGATCTCCAAAAAACTCTACAGGAGACACGCTAACGACGAGCTGCTCAGGAGACTCAGGACGCAGGTGGGTTTGTGTATTTGTTTGCTTGTGTGTCCTTAGATATTTGAAATCAGTAGAGTTGTACTAGTAGGAAGTGCAGAGTTCGTGATGATATAGGTGAGGATACAGGTACATATTTGTTAAGTTAAGCTTCGCAGAAGGAAAACGCATTGTCTTTGCCCTGTTTCTTCTTCTTCTTCTCCAAACAAACAAGGTCAATGACCTGGAGCAGACGGCTGTCACCATGGTAACTAAAGCTGTAGCAGACACTCTGTGGTGTTGGGTTATGTTATGTAGCAGGACAGAGCTGGGGGTGTTTGTCCGCAAAATAAACAGAGCAGTAGGTAGGCTACACCATGTGAAAGTAAACATTATGTATTTGCATTGCAAATGTTACATAATGTTATATAGTTTTAATATATGAATTAACACATTTTTCTGCAGATCTACCCGTTCCCTAGCGAGCAGGAGCTACAGCAGAACCTGCGCGACTACGTGGACTGGGAAGCGTACCGGACCGACACGTACGGCGGGCTGGTCAGGAGCGCGCAAAGAAGGAGGGAGAAGAAACAGCAGTACACCGTGCAATACATGGGGCAGGAGTGTTTCAGATAGGGAATATCGTATCCATAACCGGGACTATCTAGTTCTATATCGTATCCATAACCGGGCCTATCTAGTTCTATATCGTATCCATAACCGGGCCTATCTAGTTCTATATCTTCTCCAGAACAATACATGGTACAGGAGTGATTTAGATAGAAAATATCGTATCCAGAATATCAGGATAGTCACTATGAATGTAAATCCAGCACCAGGGACAGGACCAGTGTGAAGTCACTAGGAGGATAGTCAGTGTGAATGCATGTTCAGCACTAAGGACAGGACCAGTGTTAAGTCACTAGGACTAGGAGGATAGTCAGTGTGAATGTAAGTTCAGCACCAGGGACAGGACCAGTGTGAAGTCACAAGGAGGATAGTCATATTCTGGATACGAGTGGACTATCCAGACCGTGCCTAGGCATGGTTCTGGATAAAGCACTGTTCTGGATAGTCTCCGCGTATCTAAAAACGTAGATTTGCCCCAGCACGGTTCTGGATACGCGTGGACTATCCAGGGAATTCACTACCTAAAGAATTTTGAAGTTGAAATTTCATTTCTTCAAAGCCAAATTTGTTTCTCAAGGTATAAATGTCCTGACAGCCAGAAAGATAAATTTTAATTAAGTCAAGTCTTTTAAAATATTGGACTCTAAAATGTACTGTTCTGATCTGTACTTTCAAACTGTCAAGACAGGACCATGTTGTCAGTAAAAGAACCACCGTCCTATGCAAAGATGGGACGTTAAGCCACTAGTATGTCGCTCTCAAAGAGCCAATCTTGGGAAAAACCCTTTAACACAGCAAAGACAGAGATTGATATGCTTCGATGAGATTGCTGTCTAATTTGTGCACATCATACTGTAATAAATGTATACATGAGTACATATTAAGTAAATGAACAAACGAACAACATGTAGCAAAATGTTATTATTTTCCCATTCAAGTTGACATTCGTTTTACAGATTGTCAGAGATGCCATATCTTAATATATAAAGTTGAACTTGAAGGAAGCATACTCTTAATAAAATCAAGTAGCAGTATCAAACTTGCAAGCTGCAATCATGAATATCAAAATAAAAACTTTACACACAGCAAAAATAAATGTTGATGATAAAACTATCGATAAAATGTTTCTGATTAGTTTTTAAATCAAACACACCATCCTTCATTGCACTTTTACCATACTGAAATCATCTTTGCCGGTTTTCCACTCTTTATAGGCCACATACAGAAATTCATTTCCTTAATTCTCTTTTAGTAACCATATAGCCGGAGGTCAGGATTAAATAAAATCAGGGGTGGGGAAAAACTTGGATAAGGCTCCATTCACACATTGAGAATATATGTGCCAATAATAATACGGTGCAGGTACATTTTCTCCTGGGTCTTTTCTCTCATTTCAATTGTTGATTTTTGTCTTAACAGGGAACCAATAAGTAAAGACTTGCATATTTTTAATGACTGACTACGGACAATACCACCAACTAAAAAACGATGCAAAATCTCCAGGACAAACTCACTAAATATCAGGATTTTAAGAGAAAAAGAAACTTGCAACTTCAGTCTTGTATACCCGCGTTATTTCAGGTGGTCTAATTTCAAGGTGGTCACAGACCCCTTTTCTTGCCACTTTCTTCCGACCTTGTCTCTTTCTTATTGTGTTAAAAATGTTATCATCAGCCAAAGACATGGGCAGTGCAATTTGCAACATTATGGCAGCCTAATGTAGCAACTGATATAAGTATCGCCACAGATTCAGAACTGTTACAATACAATGTCTACCATGTTTACAATGGAGTCAGTTTGCAAATGTGGACAATTGGTATAGCTCTGCCACATTTTTTTCAAACATTCATCTTCTCAAAGTCTATCACAAGGTGTCAACATATTTTTGACTAATACAAAAAAAAGTATTTCAATAATTATTAATACTGACCCAAAGCAAATGCTGTGAACCATAAAAGGCAGTGAAGCATTATCGATGCATTGCTTATGTTATATACTGTGAAAAATTCACACAAACTTTGCACTCACCAAATATGTTTCACAACAAATATCAAAGTTTACATGCACTGAAAATTGCTTGTTTCACACACTTGAAAGCTCCTTGGCAGAAAAAATGGCAGAAAAAACAAGCTTTGTTCTTATATTGCAAGCAGCATTTTTCAAGCTTATATGTAAGTTTTCAAATAAGTTTTTTAAGTATAGAAAAAAGCGTGCGACTTGCACACACAAGCACTATCGATAAGACCCTAGACAGAGTGTATGTTCTATGGACTACTAAGTATCATACAATGCAGCAAAAGACATTTGACTTATTTACACACAACAGTGAGACAGTGTGTCACATAGACTATTACACATCCTAACTTGTTACTTGAGCGATTGCAAAGAGTAGAGTTTTACACACAATCCAATATTATAGAAATATTTCTTCTATCTATATTACAGTTACTGTCAGTACATTTTTTGCATATCTCAGTTATTTTTAAAACTACAGTCATCAAATGTTAGAGATATTTGACTTAGAAAACTAGTCTCACTGAAATTTTTGAAATAGTTAAAAATATGTAAAAATTCACCAGCATTTCCAGCTGGCTTCTCAGAAATTGATTCTTTAAAATTTCACCTTCTCCTGTTGATGTAGCCTTTTGGTCAGGAATTTCTGATCACAGGTTAACTTACAGTCCCAGCCAGACTCCTTTGCAGGACGAAAAATAGCATAAATTGGAGGACAAGGCTCTGCAGGACAAGGCTAAAGACTTTCTGGGTTTGTCTCCTCAAGAACTAATCCCCAGAAACATGACGGGGACCGACATAGTCTACCAGATACCTTTGACCCAGTGTTGACGTCACACTTCAAAAAAGCCACGTGACAAGCTTCACTGGGTCAGTCTACTGAGGAAGACCAGAGTGACTGGTTGAAAGCTCTAGGTGAGAGAATTTTTTGCGTTGGACCAAAAGTTTTAACTTTAAACATAATCCCCAGAACCCTTAGATCCCTACACAGGCCTTGCCTCTTCCAGCCAGAGAATCTTGACACCTTTGACCCTCCTGACCTGCTCCTTGACCGCCAAGACCAGCCCCTCCTTGTCCTTGACCTTGGCTCCATCTAGCTCGATACAGAAGTGCTGGACACTAAGATGGCCGAGGGTGTTCAGGACGTCCATGGCCTGAGCCTTCTGGTCCTTGGCTACCTGCTTGTCGGTTCCTTGGGTCAGGGACCTGAAAATAGGGCAAGACAGGAGAATAGGTTCAGATTGGAGTGAAAATTTCAAGTGTCAATATTTCCATTCAACTATTCCTTGTTCAACAGCCGTGCCTTTCTTATCAACCAAGAATTTAGGTGTTCAAAAACTTGTATTTTCCAAGAACTATCATAGAGTGGAACTCGTTGCTACCAAGCACAGTTGGGGCATCATCACTAGAAAGCTTTAAACAACTCAATATGTGCAAAGATTGTTGTGCAAGTTGTTTGGTGTAATATAGCTAGCTGCCATGTGGCTGCAAAGCTGGCGTGTTACACCAAAGGGCAGCTATACCGGCTATACAGACACAGATTTTCTATCTCTTTCTATTATTGTTATCCATCACTCTATCCATCTGTCCATCTGTCTCACTTACTATCACTCACTCTCTCATCACCACAAACTTCCATTAATTTGCTGTCACTCAGCAACAGACTAACTGACTCACTCACTGAAATACTCACAAACTGACTGACTGACTGACTGACTCAACTCAACCACCTCTACTCACATGATGATCTTGCTCCTTCCTGGTTTGAGGAAGATGATGATTGGATAGATGCTGTTGTCGTGGAGACACTGGAGACAGTCGGTACTGAGGGTCAGCACACAGTGTTTGTCCTACAGAAAATAAGGTAATAAGGTATTTCATGATACACCATTGTTTACAATAGGGTATGCAGGGTAACTGGTATAGGGTATATAGGGTATATGGTATAGGGTATATAGGGTATATGGTAAAGGTATATAGGGTATATATATATAGAGAGAGCAGCTTTCATTAATCTCCAAGCAGAGGATTTGGCTTCGGCTAGTTTTTGACACTTTTTAGGCGTATTTATTGGGCTTTCTTTTGGGTATTTTTCTCACTTCTTACTGTCTTGCAGCCACCAATAGATATACTTGTCACTTGAGAACAACTAAGTAATCAAAAGTAGCAAAAAGATCAGATTCAGATCTGTGAAAATAGTTTAAAAAAAGGAAACCAGCAACTGAAGGCAATAGAAATGGTCTAAAACTAATTTTCTTCTGATTCTAACCTACTTGCTTACAGCTTTAATCACAGGGTTGTCATAATCATTAAAAATAAATGCAGTCTTATTACATACCTGTCTGATGATGTCTTTGATGCTGTTGAGGCTGTACTGTGACACCAGACCTCCCAACATCTCACCGGACTGCACTGTGTGCTGACTGGACTCAACTGGTGGAAACACAACATTGAAGGAAAATAATCACTGATCAGAAAGGCTGAATTGATAAAATAAGCCATTGAATATTTGAAATGGTCAGCAGTAAGAATGGGGAAACTGGCAATTATAGAAACTTCAAGTTTTATAATCATTGAATATATTATAAATTTTCCTATCTTGTTGGTGCATCCAACTAAATCAACCAAACAGACACAAAGATAACTAAGTCTTAAAGGTTCTTCAGAGTGATGTACACATATGCTCGGGGTTTTAGGTCATAGGGAAACACTGAGCACAAGTCACAAAACCTTTTGTTAGAAGGAAAAGAGAATCTATTTCTACAGTAACTGAACACAAAATTTACATTGCACGACACGGCTACAGTTTATACATACTCTTCTATAAGATTACGCTTGATCTGCATAGTAGTAACCTGTCAATTGAAATGCAAAAATATAAAGTCTTTCTGAAATGCAATGTTGGTTTATTTTATTCGAGAAAAACAATACACATACTTGCAAAAAGAGGATCTGACCTGACAAAATACAGTTCTGAAACTAGTTAATTCTTACTTTAACTGTAGTAGAAATTCTTGCTCAAACAGATTAAAATCTCTGGTGACCAGCCCCTCAAACACTTGCTACATAATGCAGTCCAACACCACAGGGTGTCTGCCATAGCACCAGTTGCCATGGTGACAGACGTCTGGTCCAGGTCAAGGACCTTTTATGTTTTGAGAAGAAGAAGAAGAGACAGAGCAAAAGCAAGAATGTTTTCTTTCTGCAAACTTAAGGTAAATATGAATTATTATAATACACTCCCACTCACTCACTCACTCACTCACTCACTCACTCACTCACTCACTCACTCACTCACTCACTCACTCACTCACTCACTCACTCACTCACTATCCCATTTAGCATCTATGTATATTAAGGGAGTAAGATATAGTTTTGACAAAATATTTATACGAAAACACACAACAAAAGTTCAGCTATGCTGGGGAGCTTTCGAGACGTCCTCTGTCTCTTAGATATAGTTTCAATTCAAGATTACAATACTAGTAAACAAAAACAAACAAACAAACGTACCGACAGGTGGACACTGTTCAAACTGCAGGTCCTCCTCCTGGTGGGGTGGAAGGGTCAGTTGGAAGGCCACGGTATGTACCAGCATCTGTGGACCCAGCAGGAGTACTGGACGTTTGCCTTTTACTGTATAAGACAAACAAATAAACAAACAAACAAATAAACAAAATAACCAGCTTCCCCTAAAAATAACTGTACAGGACAGAGAGAGATAATTCTGTCAACAAACATCTGTGGACCAAGCAAAAGCAGCAACAGCATTGGATGCTTTCCCTTCACTACATAGGACATTGTCAGAGGAGGGTTAATCAACAAACAAACAAACAAACAAACAACCAAACAAAGAAACAAACAAACAGCATCTGTGGACCCAGCAACAGCACTGTACAATTGCCTTTAACTTCACAGGACAGAGGGTACAATTGTTGTAGATTTTTTAACAAACAAACAAACAAACAAACAGCATCTGTGGACCCAGCAACAGCACCGGATGCTTACCTTTAACTGCATAAGACAAACAAATAAACAAACAAACAAATAAAGAAAATAACCAGCTTCCCCCTAACTGTACAACACAAAGAGAGATTCTTCTGTCAACTAACATTAACAAGAATTTAAAGAAACAAGAACAAGAAATTAACAAAGAGCATCTGTGCACCCAGAAAAGGTACTGGCCATTTTCCCTTATAACTGAACAGCACATAACAAAGGGAAATTTGAAAAACAAACAAGCAAACAAACAGCATCTGTGAACTTAGCAACAGCACTGCATGGCAACTTGCCTTTTACTGAACAGAAGATTTTTTTGTAATCACATTTTTGATTTACAAACAATAACGTGAATGTATGTTCAGCACCAGGGACAGGACCAGTGCAAAGACACTAGGAGGATAGTCAGTTTAAAAACAAGTTTTGTTACAAGAAACAGTACATACCGTCAACTCGTTTAAGTCTGGTGTAAGGTGTGATCATCAGTTCATCCTCTCCAAAAAATCCTGAAAAAAAAACAAAAGTACTAATTGTTACAGCATTTCCCAGGGGAAAGTTCTACATGTAGACTCACAGATCTCCTTATTAGGTAGTAATCTCCTTATTAGGTAGTAATCTCCTTATTAGGTAGTAATGTTCCTTATTAGGTAGTAATCTCCTTATTAGGTAGTAATCTCCTTATTAGGTAATAATTTCCTTATTAGGTAAAAATCTCCTTATTAGGTAGTAATCTCCTTATAAGGTAATGTCCTTATCAGGTAGAAATCTTCTTAGTAATCTCCTTATTAGGTAGTAATCCCCTTTTAAGGTAGTAATGTCCTTATTAGGAAGTAATCTCCTTATTAGGTAGTAATGTGACAGTCACACCTACCACCAGTTGCGCCTGTCTGTTCACTCTGACTCCTCATGAAGAGTTTTTCCTTATTTGGAGACAGCGGAGGTTTCACGCTTTTGGAGCGGGCGGGGGAGGGGAAGAAGTGTTTCTTCTGTAAACTCTTGGCCAGGGAGGACTGGAGCTCCATTTCTCTCAGCCTGGGGAAACATTGAGAGAAATGAAAATATTATGATCTATTATGATGATCATTATTTTACATAACAATTATATAATTACATTATGTATCATAGAGCAACAAAGAAAGTTGTGAACACCAGCCTGTACAATATGATTTCATAGTTGATGATGCTAATTGTAATTGATTGTCACTGGGAACAACATTACATGTATCTACAATGTACATGTACACTCTAAGAGGAAAAGAATATCATTGGTTCAGAAATAACAGTACTAGTATATCTGATTATAAACAAATGGCCAAAGTTAGACAAGTTGTCAGTACTCATTCTTATGAAGGTATTCAGATGCATCAATTTGATCCAATTTGGAAAGAATAATGGGACTAAGTTTTTGGAATCATTGGAAGAATTATTACTGACCTTCTAGAGCTGGGTATGGGCCCGGGGTTGGAGAAGTCACCAGTGTCAGGATCCACCTGGGTAGCATACCACTTCTGGTCCCCCTTGTACCTGTACTCAAGAAACAAATCAGCAATGAAAATGGAGCAATACTAATCCGAACAGGTTTTCTTGAGTTTTAGCAACATCACTCTCAGACTGGAAGCTATGTGAGCCACTATAATCATAATACACAAAGCCACTGGTGGCATAGTAGACTAGAGACCTACATGTATCCCAAATCTTAGAACTTTAGAAGGCCGTAGCCAAACTAGCCAGTACAAGTTTAACCCTCATGGGCCAAAAATATATCATTCCATGTTCACTTCATGGCCAAATGAACAACTTTAAAAAAAAGCTTGTAATGACAGAAAAAAAGGAGATTTTTCTCAAACCTGCTTAGACTAACTTCTTCAGGTAGGGAAGATAGAATAACTATTACTATTACAATAAAGACTAATTCATAATACAGTACATTCTGGTCCATTGTACCAGGGAAATTCCTCTAGTTTAGCTCTTTTCAATTATTAAGAGGGTCAGCAAAGTAAAGAGGATGAAGACTTGACCCTGACCTTGAGCAGGTGACGTGGAAGATCTCTCCCTCCTTGATCTTGATCCTGAGATCCGGATCCTCCACGCTGGAGTTGGATCTGACGTAGAAGTCGTCGCCGCCCCGCAGGACCAGGTGGTGCTCCTGGCACAGCTGGTAACCCGACCAGTTATCTGTTCCAGTCAAGGTCACCTTCAGAAACAGAAGAAAAATTCATGCAAGAAAATCAAAGAAAATTCAACTGTGTCATCTATGACTTGTTTAGCATTACAGTGTATTACACTAATTTTCTACAATATCTAGAAGAGCGTATCATTGTATTAATCTCTAAGCAAAAGGTTTTGCTGGTCTTTTTACACTCACAGTGTAAAAAGAAACATTTAACTTTACATGTATTACAAGAAAACAGTTGCTGTATTCTACACATTTGTAAACACTGAAACATTGAGAATGAGCACATTCAGTCAAATCATTCTCTAAGCAAACTAATCTTATATTGGTTCCTTTCAATAAAAACTATGTTCATAGGATATAGGAGTTTTCTTTTACACAACCAAAATTTCCCTTGGAGTCTTAAATCTGCAGCTGAAGTAGCTGCATTATACATCAAGGTGTGATGACACAGCTCACCTGCCCACATGCTTCCTCCACAGCTTGGTGAGCCTCCTCCAGGGTGAGACCAGCCATGGACACTTTCCTCACTGTCCTGCCTCGCCCATACTGGTCCACACGGTACTGAAGCTACAGTACAAACAAGAAACAGTCATGCCTTCAAATATCAGAGTTATCAACCAAGAATTGAGGTATTCAAAAACTAGTATTTCCCCAGAACTATCGTAGACTGGAACTCGTTGCCACCAAGCACAGTTGGGGCATCATCACTAGAATTAGCTTTAAACAACTCCTGCAATTAAATGTGCGAAGATTGAGTGTAACAAGTCGTTCGGTGTGATATAGTTAGCAGCAGCTGCGCCGAGTGTCTGCGAATTGGTGAGTTATGCTGAAGGGCGGTTATACTGGCTAAACCGATACAGATACAGGAGCAAACTAAGGTATTATCAACATTCCTGGTATGAAAGGTAGTAAATACTACCTAAATTGTTTTAAAAACTTATTGTAATTTGAGTACTTACACCAGTAATCTGCTGCCCTTGCACCAGTCCCTGCCGACTTGCCTCCGACCTTTCTGCGCAGCTGCTCACGAAGATTCCCTCCTTGTTGCCCCCGACGATGGTCACCTCGACTTGAAGGTCGCTGGCTGGCAAGGTCACCTCCCACCTTGTTTGTGTAGAGCTTACCGGCCGTGATGAGTACAATTTGCAGCTGAGAAAGGAAGATATTTTTACAATGTTATGAAACAGTCCTCTTTTCAAGTGATACAAGTACTAAACTACATGTAAGACTTAGTGCACTGTGAGATCTTTAACATGCTTGAGGTGTGGCTCTCCTCAAAGGACCATTGGCTTTACCTCCCATCGAAGAGGACATCCTAATTGAATCAAGAGGAAATAGTTGAAAAGTACATTTCCCAAGGACACGACAGTGATGCCTGCCAGGGATTCGAACCCAGAACCTTCAGATTCTGAGTCAACAGGAATATCTACCTTGCTATATTTAGTTCAAGTACATGCCCTTACACTTCTGTCGTTATGTGTAACATCTGTGTCCATAATATCACCAGGGTCTATAATATCGCCACCTTAAGAATTAGAAACAGTGTGCTTAAATATATTTTTACTGCAACATACTTTTGGTATGCACTCCTGCACACCTCAAATGTACATACATGTACCTAGGGTATGTTGCAGTAAAAATATCTTTAAGCACCCTGTTTCTCAAGGTGGTGATATTATGGACACAGATGTTACCTGGCTAGCAGAAGTATCCAATCCCACTCAATTAAGTTATATTCTGCCTACCTGCCTAAATGCTTAGGCCAGAACTGGCGCCTTGCTCCTCTTCATTTTTTCCTGCCAGGCAGCACAGTCCTTAGACTTTTGTCCTAGGCTATAACACCTGTTTAAAAATGTTACGCACCTGTCCAAGCCTTCTACTCCAGAGTCACTCCCATCTTTAAGCATGCCTTCGAGTTGGTAGTGCTCAAGAGCACTACAGGACTGTGAGCGCGGTCTGTCATTACTGAACGGATCACAGATCTCATCTGGGGAAAGAAACAGAAACAGTTGGCGTTAGGCAATCTTTTGAGGAAGTCATTCACTGTGACTGTTTATAATATATCGTTTTGTAATGTCTTAATGTGCAATTTTAATATATAATGTGTAATTTTTAAACAATCTGTAATTTGTAAATTGTGTGCAATTCAGTGATTACCCACTTTACTCACTGCAAAAGTGCAATAAACAAATCTTGAGTCTCTGAGTTTGAGTCTCCTGTTTGTTTGTTTGTTTGTTTTGCTTAACTAACTACTAAAATCCTTTAGGCATAACACACCTGGTCCAGTAGGTGCAAGCTGAATTTGACTACACTGTAAGATTTGATCTTTGCATTTTTTTGTTCTTTTTTTTTGCAGAAAATCTCTTCATTAAGTATCTCTTCTGGTAAGACTGGTCCATTTCCAAGTCTCTACCATAATTGACATCATTGTAGACATGACAGAGAGCATTACCATCATCATCACTTATTTAGGTTGATTTGATTGGTTGGCATCAGCATCTAAAACACCAATCAGACTGCTGGACTAGTTTAGGTGTGAAGAGACATTGATTAATCAAATGATTTATTGATTATGGTCACACAGTGCAGAATCAGTATTGTTTATCATTTGTGGCTGAGGTGAGTCTATATCTACAGACAGACAGTAAGAAGTGGTCCCAGGATGGTACCTCGAGGTACAAAGTCATCGTTCGTGACAGAAAAGGAGTCAGACAGGACTCTTGCCCACCGGACATCAGATACAGTCTCTGCACCTGTGTTAGACCAGCAACATGCTCAAGTTGTTTGTTTGTTTGTTTGTTTGTTTGTTTGTTTGTTTGTTTGTTTAGGATCTCCATTAGAGTGTGAATTTCACACTTTGTCTACTCTTCCTGGAGTCCGTAGTGAATAATCAGATAAGATCACTAATCATCATCATCCACTGTATTCTGCATTTGTAGTTGTAAGTCACTAATATATACAGTCAAACTTGTCTACAGACAACCAATGAGGGGACTGAGGAAAAGGGGTCTTCTAAGACAATTGGTCTTCTTATACAAAAAGCATAGTACACTTTAAGTTGTTTTTAGCATAAAACAAAAATGGTCTTCTTATACAAAAAGCATAGACTTTAAGTCATTTTTTAACATAAAACAAAAATGCTACAAGTTTTTTTTGTTTGATCACTAATGAATAATAACTAGCACTGTTCCAGGACTAAACATCCAGAGATATTAGACCTGTCCTTGGTGCTGAACACATGGTGGTAGAACTACAATACTCTCAGTTGAAGAATGTATCATCTAAATGTTGAGTAACTGCATGTGTAGCTTAATAACACTGTTAACAGTGTTATTTACATATATCAAGGCTTAATCAACATAATGTCAATGCAGTTTACTAATTAATAAACTGCCACTGTTCCAGGTCTAAAAATCCGGTGCTGTTAGTCTTGTCTGTGGTGCTGAATACATGCATAATGCTTTCAGTTGAACAATATATCTCATGTAGGAGCATTCAGTCATAACCAAAGCTGTAGGGCTGACATCAATTGCAATTTTACTATCATGGTCAATATTGACTGAAGGAGGCTATAAAAATGTATAACATTATATGTTTGTACAAAGTAAGGATCACAGAATGATGATTACATACCTTCTGACTCTGCGTCTGCGATGCTGTTACATTTCACCTTCTGTGTGGTTTCATCTAGACTCAAGGGTCCTGTGCTGATCTGGGAGTACCTGTGTAGGTGTGTGGGATGTGGGAACAAATGTTCAGAAAAAGCTGCAATGCAAAATGTATGTTGCTACTGTCTGTAGCATTGAAGCTTTTTATATATCAGATTCTTTACACACCTAATGTATGTTTGTTCGTCAGAGATTATAGCTTAGCCAAATTTGTCTGTCAATGAGCGGCAAAATTCTGTCACTGTTTTGTAACTTCTGTTATCATATTGATTATTGACTGAATGAAGATCTCATCATTTTTGGCCCACATTTACAAACATATATGTCATTAAGCTAATATTGTCTACTACATTCAGAATTTTCATTGAAGATTCTTTTTCTACATACATGATTTAGTCTACTTGTTGCCATCTATAAATTTCAGGAATGTTGAGTTTTATACTGTAATGATTTGTGACTACGTCAAAAGCCAGGAGATATGAAGTATTTTGGGTTCGGCTTACCTTAGACACCCCTCTCCACTCCGCTTTCTACTACGGACAGACATGGAAGGTTCTGGAGTGGTTGTCTCTGTTCTCTGCAACAACAGATATTGGAAGGAAATAGGGTTTCAAAAAGTCATTCCCCATGTGCATTTGGTTCTATCTTTCTTCATCAGGAATTGCAAGCTGTTTATCATTCAGATCAACACTCATTCACACACTCACTATCCGGTTTATCCGAAGACCACCAAACCCCCAGTTCTATAAGACTGCTGTGGAGACTAATATATAATATATAATAATGCCCACGTGGGTTTGGGCCTTCCACATCCAGTGTGATGATCTTTCTAGACAACTTCTGACTGTCCATTCTTTGGAGATGGCCATACCATGATCTTTATCAGCTAAATCTTACCACAAATATCAAGACTTTAAAAATTCACAAGTTTAGCTTCCAACCTTCAGTGTGCCGTACGGAACGTCGTCCCATTCTTCTGAGACGTACGTTGTGGTAATTTCTTTGAACGCGGAGTCGATGGCGTCTTGTGTGAGGTCACCTAGAGAGTGAGAGGTTTGAGTTTATTAGGATCCACATTTAGCTTACATGTACATGACTGTAGCTACTAGACTAAGTATTCTTCCTGTGGTCTGTTCTAACACACAACACACAGAAAAATATATAAAACATAAATTTTAACTAGAAAGGTAACATTTGCAAACCAAATGCATAATGTTTACCTTTGCATATGATCTGCTCTGTATTTCCTACTCAAACACATTCATATTATATGGTCAGACAGGAGTCTAAATCCCTCCTGCTATAAAATTGCATGATGTAACTCAATACTAGTTACCATGGTGACAGACACCTGGTTCAGGTCATTGATCTTGTTTGTTTGGAACAGAGCAAAAACATAAAGAGATAAACATACACAACTCACCCAGGGATTGGGACCGACAGAACTTGTCGTAGTGCTTCGTCTCAAAGGCGCGCTTGCGAAACTTTTCCTTCACCAACACGTCAATGTCTTCTGAAGACCTGTTTGGAAAATTTTGTAAAATCAATCATGATCTTACATACCGTGTAACACTTGATTTTTGACAGTATGAAGTAAAAAAAATTCAAGACCTTTTGAAGCAAAAGGCACTCAGAAGTAAGTTCTGACTGCAAGAATGTGGAAGCACTGTCACTTGATTATGATCTATCCTTTGCAGTTTTTTCCAAATTACTAGTAATAATTTTATTGTAGAAAATATACAGGATACTGATCATGAATAATAAGTACATGAGAAGTGACATATACTCATGAAGAAGGTCATTATTAGGGCTGGATAACTGTGTTTGAAATAAGGTTTGATTTCATTTGAAAGTTAATGAGATACACATTCAAGAAAACAGACTCACTCAAGAAACTGGATGGATCTGGAAACTGTCTGACGCTTCATGTGACATAGACAGTCACTAACGTAAAATATGGGATGCTACCTGAAACGTCTGACAAGTTTCCAAAGTCTAACCACTTGCTTGAGTAACAGTTCTCTAACTTGTGTTTACATTGTTATGATAAAACTGATTCAGAAGCTACCTGTTGCTGATGGAGCTAGACTGTCGACCGTACACCGGGAGCGCCTGTCCACATGCGTCACACCGGGCACCTCTGGGCGGTGGCAGGAGAAGGCTGTCATGCTGAAGAAACATGCAAATAACACTTTAAAAAGCCAGATCCATTAAAAAAAACAACTTAGTGTCTTTTTTGCCCAGTCTGGCAGTCTTCTTATTCAAAAGGACAATCACCAATAGGTCACATGGTCTTAGGCACACATGACATCAGCATTTGAGGCAAGTTCATATTGCACCTACATGAAGCCTGGATTGTTCACGGTTTTGGCTGGATGTTTGGTCTACGTTGCATCAAAATTTTCCATGTTGCAGACGATATATTTTCCAAAACATCATTTAAAAACATGTTATACACAATTATAATATAACCTTAAACTAGTAGATTCCTGCCAATGTGCTAACAATTGGTCAACAGTCAGTCTAGAAAGTGTTTGAAGTGCTATAAAGTGAAATAAATCTGCTGAAATGGTGCATGTTTAGATATTGAGCCACTTTTTGCAGTTTATAAATTTGTGCTGCTGACGACTGTTAGCATATAGTGATGAATAAAATGTTAAATGTTATCACAAAAGCAAATAACTATAGGGTTAGGCACTGTGAATGGTGCTGTATCAACATAAATGAGCCATTATAAGTTAGTACTATGCAATACATGTATGCTGGCCTGCTGTGTGTTAGTAAGCTAATCTACTGCAGCTTTAAAAAGCAACGACAACTCAAAGCAAACATACCTGAGCAGAGGTGTAAAGCTGTTGTTACCAGATGGACAAACAGAAAAGGGACAAAAGTAAACTTAAAAGTCAAACAAGCACTTAAAGCCCGCAACAAACATGTCTTAGGCATATAGTTACTGAAACAGCACACAAGTTAAATAGTAACACTTAGGTTAGAGAACTTTAGAAGCAATGTTAGGTTAGTCATGATACTGATAGTCATTTAAATGTAGCAGAGATTTTTTACCCACTTGGCAGGTTGAAAATTTTGCTTTCTGCCACCACTTACATGTCAATCAGCATTCACCTCAATTTTACAAATCCTACTTATTATAAAAGCCAAGAGGAAACACAAAATCAAGTTATAGGGTTAAGGTAGGGTAGCACATCTTAGGGAGCACACCAAAGCTACACTTTTTTTATCTACTTCAATTTTCACCTCAAAACAAGGCTCATAAGAACCTTGTAATACATGTTTTGGGTTACATTAAGAAACTATAGAGAGACAGATATTTGTTAACATCAGACTTGAAAAGTTTGAAGGTTGCACCCATTTAGGAAGCATTCACAAGGAAGCTTGTTTCATAATGATGTAGTTTTAGGAAAGAAGCTTTCAGTGTGAAAACCAGATCTCTACCCTGACATATACCTAAATTAGAGCAAGTAGTATAAGTTGATTCATATATTGTCTTGTCTGCAGGTTAATTTTGTTGTACATACTAACATAGTACATGACACATATTTGTCTCTATGTCTACATGTAGTTTAAGACCCTAAGAAAGTCGCTATACTTCTGTTGCGTCAATAAAGTTCTATATCTATTAAATCAATGATTATGAAATTCAATAAAATCATACTACAACGATCGTCCTATCTCACCTTATGTCTGGTCATCTTGATCCTGAGCTGCCCGATCTCCTTGTCCTTCTCCTCGATCTGGCTGGTCAGGTCGTTGACCATGGCCCAGTACTTGTCCTTGTCGGCGATGCACTTCCGCATGTTGGTCTGGGCATCGTCTCTTGCCTGCCAAGCCTGAGGGAGAAAGGCAAAAGATTTTTAATACTTCTCTCTCTCTCTCTCTCTCTCTCTCTCTCTCTCTCTATCTATCTGTATCTCTCTCTCTCTATCCCCATGTTCCAAGGTTAGACATGTTTGCACTCTGATGCAGGGGCTTGATACTGTAGCTAGCTATTTGTCTCTCTCCTGTGGTTCTTGCATGGGCACAGCAAAGGTCAATACATGTGCCCCTGCAGTTTAGAGTCTCAGCAACTTCACCAGCCAGACACACAGTTTTTAGAACAAAATCAAACTGATTTTGTTTTAAAGTGAAAACAAAACTGGCTACATTGTTGGGGCAGAGCCACCCCTGGAACCGACTGCTCTGTTGAGATATTGAACCCCCACCATAGGCCTTAGAGAACGACCATGATGCACCTGGTGTGATCAACTGAAGGACGACCAACTAGTTGTTAGCCTCAACCTCAACATGGCCTGGGGGACCATTTGCTGAGGCCCTACATGCCCTAATGGGAGCATGCAGTGACTGTCGTGAGTGAGTGAGTGAAAATGAACCCACCTCGTTTCTCTCCTTCTCGACCTGCTCCAGTTTCTCCAGGGCCGTCTCGCTCCACTTCTTGTGGTTATTTTTCTCACTGGACAGGAGGGAACACTGAACCTGCAGCTCCTCCTTCTCCTGACGAATCTGCAATTAACAAAAACACACAAGCATTACAGAAAACATCAGGACTGGTGAACACCTTCCTTAGGACATGCTGCATACGCTGGACTGAAGGGAACACTGAACCTGCAGCTCCTCCTTCTGACGAATCTGCAATTAATAAAACATGCATTATAAGTAAAGAAAACACATGAGCAGTATTAGTGAACACTGGACCTGTAACTCCTCTTTTTCCTGGCGAATCTGGGGACAAGAGAACAATGTCGCATAGTCAAACATTGGACTTAAAACATGAGGAGAACTCCTTCCTCAGGACTTATTGCATACTTGTCTACTATTCTGGTAAGTGGCCATCCCTATGTTCACTCGGTGGTATAGTCCCATCCAAACCTGTCTGAAAATTGGGACCAGGTATTACAAAAATTAATACAGGTGGATAGCACAGTTACTCCCGACCAGTACATCTGAAAAGTCAGCAGCAATGTTTCCCTGTTCTGTATGATTCTGTAACTGTATTGCCCATACATTTTGCATAACACACCTGTCCAGCTTTACTTCTAATATAATGACAGCAGTAGTATCTACACCCTTTAAATGCAAGTTACTTTGGGCATTATGTGGCAAAAGCATGTTATAATGAATATGCCCCCTTATTGCCTGGATACCACCCTCTGTAGTTACCGCTGTCTCTCTCTTGTCCACATAGCCAGTGACAGACAATGGTAACTGTGAAGGATGGCACCTAGGCGTTACGCTCTTACCTTCTCCTTTTGTTTCTCCGCCTTGTGCAGTTCCTCTCTGGCCCGATAGAGGTCCTCGACCATGTCCTTACATTTCTCCTGAGCCTCCTCCAGGTCCTGCTTCAGGATGTCTGTGGACGAGTCGGTCACCGCTGGATTCACCGCAGCCTATCAATTAAATACAAACATCAAAATGTAGTCTAAAGAAAATTTGGCATTGATATTGTGACTTAAGAAACTTTCTGTGAATCAGTCGTCCCTTAACAGGTGGTTGTAGAGTTTTCAATCATACTTACATGTAATTGTAACGTGATACATTGTTGGTGGAACAGACTATTAGACTATGTGACTTGAAAATGCCATATATAGACTGTTATATTTCAGTCTATACCATGGTATGGATGAAATATATTGTGTTCCCTCATGTTTCTCCTCCTCCTCCTTCTCCTCCTCCTGCCAAACAGTCAAAGGGATTCAACTCCGCCATCATTCAGCCAAATGACTTGAAATTTGGCATGGAGGTAGAGTGGGCCAATACCCCCAGGCGTTTTTTTCATTTTTTTGAAACATGCCTTTGAAAAATTTTTATGAAGGTTTTTTGGGGCATTTTTCAACAAAAAATGGATTTTTGGATCCTGAGCCCTGGTATTACAACCAAATGATATGACATTCGGTATAAGGGTACCTTGAACGTGTGTCTACAGAATAGCAGTCATGTATTTGGCATACATCACTTCCAAATGACTCATTTGGGGGACTTTAATGGCTATTTTCAGCAAAAAAGGGGCCAAAAGTGCTATACCCGTTCCACGTTCTATCTAAAGAATGGCCGGTTCCATCCATGGAACACGTGTTCCATTGCGGGTTACCTGAGGTCACATTGCACCTAAGTGGTGTGTAATGACCCACACATTCAATTTTATGTGCCTAAGACCTTCAAAATGTATCAAATCTCATCATTGTTAGTTTTTGCATACCTGTAATAAGATTAGTAAAGCTTTCGAGATTCAAAGTACTTGTTGTTGCATCTTTGTTCTCATATAGCTACTATTTAATTCATTTATTTGAGAACCTTTGCCAGTTTTGCACTGGGGTAAGTTTGGAATAGTCCACTTTTGCGTGGGAGGGAGATGGACTGAAATATGCTGTATTTGCTCCCAAGCAAATGTCGGCCTTTCTAGTTATGTGTCCTTATTACACTTGCTGAAGTCTTTTCAGTTTTTTTTTACTTCTCCATGTAGCTCATAGATCAGTTTGTTTCAATTTCACCCTCAAACTAACCCTCCTCTTCTCCTCCTAAGACTTGACAAATATAACATGTAGACTGGCACTTTTCTTGGTCCTGTCCTTGATGATCTGTCTTCAGTCTGAAGACTGTTCCTCATCTTGCCCCTCTCCTTTACTTACAAGTCTTACATGACTTTGTATATTGTGCATTGTAGATGATAGCTCACCCTGTTCTTGCTCCTCTCCTTGGCCAGTTCCATCTCCAGTAGTTCCACTTTCCTCTGCAGCTTGATGGAGTCAGGTTGACTCTCCACCTCTCGCCTCAGTCTGATGGACTGTGTCCTCTCCAGGGTCATCCTCTCTCGCTCACTGTTCAGCTCCAAGTGTACCTATAAATAATGTAAGGCAGGGGCAGACAGTTAGCACCTTTTCCAAATTTCTGGAAATTTCATTATGTTGGGTTGACTCTCCACCTCTCGTCTCAGCCTGATGGACTGTGTCCGCTCCAGAGTCATCCTCTCTCGCTCGCTGTTCAGCTCCAAGTGAACCTATTATATAATGTAAGGCAGGGTCAGACATTTAATAGCACAGTTACTGCATGTCTGGACCATTTTATGGGCCACGATAGTTGTTAGATACGGGTGTTCCGACTCCAGGGTCATCCGCTCTCGCTCGCTGTTCAGCTCCAAGTGAACCTATGAATAATGTAAGGCAGGAGTAGTCTGTTAGTACATTTACCAAATTTCTGGAAATTTTATCATGTTGGGCTGACTCTCCACCTCCCGTCTCAGCCTGATGGACTGTGTCCGCTCTAGGGTCATCCTCTCTCGCTCGCTGTTCAGCGTACCTGATGAACTGATCAGGTGTACCTGATGCAGGGAAAGATTGTTACGGACATAGTTTAATTATTATTATTTCTTGAAATATTATTTGGGTTGTGGTAATGCTTGATACGTGTGTTCTTGCCCATAAGATAACTTAGTGGTGTCACACGAGTTCTGACGATTGTCACCCACTGGCGTGCTGTAGAATAATTTAATGCATCTGCGATCTGACTTGCAGTCAGGCTGGTACCTCAGGTGATGTGGAATACACTGTGTTGTATTCTACGTGTACCAAATGTCTTTGGACATAGTGACTGCTTTGTAGCTGTTCGTACAGATTCAAGGCACTGTTAGGTCATTATCTGATAAGTAATTCTTGAAATGTTTGTTGTTAGGTTCTATTTTGGCAGTGACCTCATACTTTGACATAAGTCATCAGTCTTGCATCTCCAAATGACGTAAACCAAGTTGTGTTGGCTGGGAACAAAATAACACTAAATAAATCCAGTTTAAACTACATTTGTAAGTCCAATCCAGTTGAAACTAGATTGCTCCAGTTTGTGCTGACCTGATCCAGTTCCTGCATGGTTTCCCTCAGCCTCTCCTGCGTACTTTTGCTCTCCTCCATGTAAGAAACTACCTTTGCCAGGAGGTTCGACTTCTCTTCTGTTAGACTGAAAAAAAGGGAACATTGTTCGGCAATTAGGCTGTCAGAAACACAGACAGACATACAGGCATGTACAAAAACATGCCAAAAACATTACTTTTGGATGAAGTATGATTATTAGATTAAATATTTTTATGAGTTCCTAAAATGACTGAGTTGATCTTGAAGCTCTACACAGAGTCTACATGACTTGTACAATTGTTAATCTAGTAGGACACTCAGTTTCTGCGAGTGAATACAGACAGATCTCTTCTGCCTCATCCCTCCATCTAGACCCCCAATCCCACCCCATTTGTATCCTGTCCTGACTTGCTTAATACTTACTTCAAAATAACTGTCAGAGAACTAAGACATTTGTTATGCACCTAATTAGTTACATTGTAATTAATCCCCTCACCTGTGATTCTGGTCCTTGAGTTGCAGGTACCCCCGCTTGATGTCCTCATAGTTTTCCATCTTCCGCTGGAGATCTTCTACTTCGACTTCCTTTGCTCTGAACTTTTCCTGAAACTCCTCCACAGCGTTACTCTTCGTTGCTTCCCTCCACTTGACAGCGGCATATTTCTTGTTGAGCTCCACCAGTTTTGTGGCCAGGAGGAGGTACTCGCTACTCCCTGCTCCCAGGCAGTCTGGGCAGAAGTCTCCTGGGAGTGAAATGTAGAATGAATTTGATTTGATCTATTGAAATTGCAACTGTTACTGTACAATATACACATGAAACACAAACAGCTGTTGCTGGTGTTGTGTCTCACACATAGAAACACTCACACATTTGATCACTCATTCACTCACTCACTCACTCACTCACTCACTCACTCACTCACTCACTCACTCACTCACTCAATCACTCACTCACTCACCCACTCACTCACACACTCACTCACTCACTCACTCACTCACTCACTCACTCACTCACTCACTCACACACACACTCACTCTCTCTGACTCACACACACACATCCATCCATAGCCTGGTTACCAATCCTATTATAGCTCCAAGTCATCCATCCATCCATCCATCCATCCATCCATCCATCCATCCATCCATCCATCCATCCATCCATCCATCCATCCATCCATCCATCCAACCGTCCGTCCGTCCGTCCATCCATCCATCCATCCATCCATCCATCCATCCATCCAACCGTCCGTCCATCCATCCATCCATCCATCCATCCATCCATCCATCCATCCATCCATCCATCCGTCCATCCATCCAGCCTGGTTACCAAACCTATTATAACTCCCAAGTCCTTCATCCTCTCTGCAAATGACTCGGGAGCTATAATAGGTTTGTATATAACCAGGTTATCCATCCATCCATCCCCAGTGACTGTACACCTATTCTCACCCTCCTCCTGTCCATATGTACTGATGGATGACTGCCTCCGAGGGTCCTTATTGGTCAGAAGCCGGTACAGGTGTGGCATCACCTTCTCCAAGATGTCGATGAAGTGTCCGTAACCCTCGGGGCCTTTCCCCTTCAGCAGGTTCACAAAGTGCACTGAAAAACATTATTTTTTCAAACTGAATAGTTTCTTTCATCTGGTTGGTAAATTAGGTTGGTAAGATTTTTAGTATAATTATTCAAGTTACACATTGCACACATTGTAAGGAAGCAGCTGTACATGTAACTAAAGTTCACAGTACATCAATGAATGATGTATTTTCTGACATACACAAGGATGCATTATGTCAACAGTAAAGCATTACAACCTCTTACAACCGTAAAAATTCATGGTCCATTTTGTAGGTTAAAGGGCATTTAATGAAGTCCTGGAAGAAATACGCAAGGTCTGTTCTATCTCTTAATCAATACCTCTTGTTTGCTATTTGCAAATATGTTTGACTGAGGTGTTTATTTTAGACCTGGTTGACATTTCAAGATAGTCAGTCAAACTTCAATGGCTATCCAACCACCTGGCATTATATATCAAGCCAACCACCAGTCATATTACATATAGCAAAGTAAAGCAGCAGAATTTGAAGACAGCTGACTCTGTTGACATTACAAGATTGTCACTGATGAATTTTCACATACTTGCTTTTTTCTTGCGAGTGTCCTTTGCTTCGATTTCTTCATAGTCACTCTCGTCCATCACATGTTTGGAGCGGAGGTACGGAACAACCTGCAAGAAATACCAAAATCCAAAAAAAAGTCAAGAGACTTTTTAAACTCGCAACTTAAAGTCATCAAAAGCAATTTCAACACAGTAAAACAGATAGCACTCTGGATAAGAAAATCTGTCTGATATTGAAATTTACTGCACATTTTCGTTATCATATATTGAGCGTTTGAAATAGCTCAAATTAACAGGCTACGTGAGGAGTCTCTTTATCTTCTGGTACCCCCAATAAAAGCCTACAACATGAAACTTCTTTCTGTGAGCAACTTTGCATTTTTGCCTCACACTAAGGCCACACCAATTTAATTTCTTGGTTAACGGATTTTTCTAGAATAATAATGGAGCGGGCGGGCGAAAATAATTAAATTAGTGTGGCCTAATATCAGTAAATTTGCTATAAGGGTTACTAGAGTAGTCTACCAAACATCCAACGGAAACAGTTTTAGTGGTTTTGGCGCAATAGAGCTGGATATGTTGTGCACAGTACTTGTAGTTATAGAAGAGTTGAGTTGAACTTTGAACTTGTGCCCAAACACCTGCCCCCTGCCCCCTGACCTTGATGGGGTCGAGCATCTCGGTGATGATGTAGCAGTGCTCCTCCAGCAGGTCCTGGTACTCGGGGTACTCCTCCTCTGGAGCAGCCATCGTTACCTTGGCAACAAGGACTGACGGATGCTAGCAACCTGCGGGAGGACATTGGGTGATGTTATCATCACTATGGCAACTTGGCATCACCATGGCAACATGGCATCACCATGATGGTAACATGGCATCACCATGGCAACATATGGCATCACCTTGGTAACATGGCATCACCATGGCAACATGGCATCTCCATTGCAACATGGCATCTCCATGGCAACATGGCATTACCATGGCAACAATGATGGTGATCATCAAACAATTGTCAATTACAACTTTAAAAAAATCAAAGCAAGATAAATTTTTTGCGTGAAAGAAATTTAGACTTTCTTAAGATATATACTTAATAGAGGAGATCTTGAAATCTCCAAGCAGATGCAGGGTTCAGCTCACTGTTTTATACAAGGAGATTCCTCTGGCCAATGGACCTATACCATTATTACGTCACAGTTTGTTTACCGCAATGAATGCCGGTCAATCGACGTTTATATTGTACAGGGGTGCGTAGCGCGGTTTGTGTTTGTGTAGCGTTAGCCTAATATAAGGCTTTTAATACAATACTACTTTCGTCTAATATCACAACTAAATCACCCATGCGGCATGTAATGCTGTGTCAACACAACTAGACGCAGCAAAAATCAGACAAACCTTACTTTGAAAACTTTGAAATGATCTTTGTTCTTTAACTGACCGTTCTAGAATGTTCTTTAGAACAGGTAAACAAACTGTGACGTAATAATGGTATAGGTCCATATGGATACTGTCTTGCCACCGTACACATAGTATATAACGTTACATGTATCTGCTTGGAGATTACCAAAACCAACATGTCATGTATTACTAGTACACAGTTCTACTCGCAAGAGTAACCATGGAGGTAGAATAATAAATTTGACGTCTTTTAACTCCATGATGTAACACAAAGACTGCTGCTTTAGTAAATGACTAGTACAGACTACATTTTGTATAAAAATGGGGAAGGAAATTACAGTTAAGCTTTTACTGAAAAGCTATTATCCTCTTCTTATTGTGAAAAGAAAGACATACAGTCACGTAGAACCTAATTATGTGCATTTAAGTTCAGTGTGCAGGGGAATTCCCCGTGCTCTTTTTGACATTTGTTAGCACAATGGGCTGTTGACTATGGCTTGATATCCAGTCCTTTTAAATTTAATGGACTCACAACCGCGAAGCCTTAAGTTTATAAATGGAGCCAAAAGGAAACAGGCAGGTTTACAATTGTGTACAAAAATGAACACCTGAACTGGGATCTTTTACACTTCAATGTTGGATCAGCTGAGCTAGGGGGCAATTTCAATATCTCTAGCTTTAGATAGAAATAAATCTACAACTAGAGATAAAATTCCCGTAAATAATTTCATCAGGTTGGAAGATACTTAGGGTAATAGAATTTTCTTCTTACACAACCAGTTAAGTTGCAGAAGTCCAGTCAGAAGCTCTGAGGAAGGTGTCTGATAGACGCGCATTGAAAAGTAAGCAGTTGAGAACCTTTACTGGTTGTGTAAGAAGAAAATTCTATACCCTACAGATAAAATTGGTGGACAAAGTTTAAGAACCTTTCCAGTTAAGTGAAATCGTAAGTTAAACACATTCAGGGTAGCAACAATGAAACTATGCAAACAAAATTATAATAATCCTTTAAAATCGGCTCTGAATACTTAGTATACAGCTCTTAAGCTTGTGGTGGCCAGTTTACTATATTTACATGTAACTTAGTGATGTTGTATCAACACAACTGTGGAATGTGGAACCCACAGTAAACCTTGTTGCAGGAAACTTCAGCATGACCACTTTCAAATTCAAGTAGTTGTGGTTTCAGAAAGATAATATATAATGTACACAATTGCATGGGGCATAGCAATCTAGAGAGTGTCAAAGAGACAGTGTGTGCTATTGAGTTTATCCATCATACTTCTTTCCTAACTTGGCCTATAAAGTTAATTGGCACATTCCCAAGTCAATTATATTCTGTTACAGCAATTTGTCCTGTTAAAATAGCTTCTACCAGGCTTCGGGAGGCCAAATAGAGTACTATGTCAGGGGATTTGGTCCACTATATAGAGAGTGCGGTTTGCCAGTCACTCTCCACCAGATCAACTCCCCTGGCATGTTATCTCTCTATCTGGCCAATTTCTACTCTTTCCAGCCACCTCCCGAAGCCTCAGTAGTGGTAGAGGCTATTTTGTTTATTTTATTTGTTTATTTAATTGATCTTGAACAGACTGACAACTTATAATACATACTTGTCTTCCTGGAGTCGTTTCACAAACAAACACACTTACTTAAAACCCTACACATTTATCTATATACACCTACAGGCTAAGCCTAAACTGAAGTCACTAGAGGTCATTTTTTCAGTTCAGCAGTTTAAAAGAAGTGTCACACCCTTTTATACCAATTATGCTGGCGGCAGAAGATTGAGGAAGGAGAACTAAGAAAAACAGAACTTTCTATCAAACGTCGCAGCCAACATCTGGACTCCCTCAGGCTGATATGTCTGTGTGTGGCTGTCTGTTAAATAGCACATAACAAGGCTGAGAGACTTGGCAAAGGGCCCGATGTCTTGAAACTTGCTGACAGATTTCCGTGGGTGCCAAGAAAAGACTGATAGGCTGTTATATACTGCCTTAACCAATGTTTTTGGATTCCTAATACTATATCCAAGGATTCTATAATGTCCTAATGCTATACTAGTATGTAAGCCTTTGGCTAATATATAATGTGTGTAAACTATGGCCTAAAGCATGAATTCATTTAGCAAACTAAAGGGCTTGACTTCTTCAAACTTGCTGAAAGTTTTTGGTGAGTGCCAAGAAAATACTGATAGGCTGTGTGTACTGCCTTTAAACCAATGATTTAGGATTCCTTTGTAGTGCAGTTCTGAGTCAAGACATTATAGGTCTGCACCGAAACTTCCCCTTCCTTTCCCCTCCCCACGGCCCTCCCACCTAAATGTAAAGAACAGTCACAGTCCAACGACTTCCAAGTTATCTCTTGCTTTCACTTTTGTTACAACACCGCTATACACGGTCACCAGACCACGAACTAAATGGTGTAAGAAAACAAATACTGCATGGCATAACTGCGGCCTGAAAAGGGTGAAAGTTGTGGCTGCATATCTCCAAGTGAAAGTTTTTCCTAGCTACTTGCATATACATGTAACGCGTTTGGGCTACCAAAATTCGTGATCTAAATAAATTCAAGATTCTCGGCCTGGCTATTACTAGTAATTTATCACATGTAGGGCCATTTAGCTAGACGCGGTACACCTGTGACAGTGGGGGGTTTATAGGCGGTACCAACTGACGAAATGGGTCTATATACGTCTAGACCTTTTAGCCGAATCGTTAGAGCGTCGGCATGTGGACTGGTGCACGGGCTTGGTCGTGGGTTCGAACCCCGGCCCGGGACCAGGGGTTTTTGTCTGTTTCTACTCGCTGCTCCTCCTGTTTCTTACAGTGGTTCCCACACCGGGAATCGAACCCGGGGCGGTGAGAGCGCCAAATCCTAACCACTAGACCCCCCCCCCCCCCCCCACCTGTTACACACACCAAACTACCGTAGTCTCACATATCATCACAGCACAGGCGAGTATATGAATCACTGCATGCTCTGACAAAACTGTCAACTGAAAACGTCATTTTACCGGTACTAGCAGCCACTGGCACTTTAATAGTTGGCAGTGAGTTCGGGAAGTTAGTTACTGGATACACGAACCAAAATAAAAAGCAAATTTACCGCGCACTTCTTGACACCAGCGCTGACAGAAGTTTACTCGCACCCACCTGTTGTCACCTCATAGCTGGAACGGCGGGCAAAAGTCGGAAAAACGGCACGAAAAGTCCGGTATCAAGGTCCCGATAGCACCTACCCCCCAAAAATGTGCATGTTTGTTTCCCCTCTACCCGGAAGTAAGTGTAATAAGTAGCGAGGGGCTATCCCATTTCTATTCGGGGGAGGGGACAAAAACTAAAACTTGTAAAAAGTCGTTTTTGCTTCTAAATCTATCACTAAAACTGTTTTAAAACTTGTAAATTGACTACATTGTATTTTCAGCTCAGTATTTATGCTTTGTTGAAACGCTCAGTGGTTAGATTTGAATTTGGCAGCTCCCCCGTTTACCGAATGGACTGACCGAGATCTTAGGCTGGGAAAACGGGGCGTGGCTGGCTGTCATACCCTGTCATGTGAAATGATCTTGTAGTGTCGTCATGACCCAGCCTTGGTGACATCCGATTTGCTTCGAATTCAGGGCTCCTTTTTTGGGCTTTTGTATTGGGTTTTCTTTTTAAAAGATACCAAATTATGCAAAAAAAGAAAGCCAGATAAAAAAACCTAATTTAAACACGACAAAAGTAAGCCAAAACCCAAACCTCTGCTTGTACTCACTGTCCCGAAATAATCTCACAATTTTTAGGCTACGACATAAGAAAAAAGGTTTAAAAGTTACACGATAATGATTATAGTAATACGTTTATTGCAAATATATGCCCGACAGTTACTTGCAATATAATCAAACAAATACATGTACAATGGTATCAAGAACTAGAGTTGAAGTTGGAGTTGAACTTGCTATACCATACACTATATTCTGAAATGTCTCACTCTCTCCCTGGACTATAGCTAATTCTGTTGGGGTTGGCTTCTTCTTAAGGCTGCCGGCGTAACTTCCTTATTATAAATCCTTCCAAGAAGCTATCATGTCGTAGAATGTCCTTGATCTTTTACAGGTGGCTGACAGAGTATTCGGGTGCCCCCACAGGATATGCAACCACAGCTAGGGCCTTTTAAGCTTCCTTCGCAGACTTGTAGGGCGCGGTCGTTTTTTTTTTTTTTTTTCGGTCGAGCGAGGTAGTTATGCCGCGGAGGGACGATTTTGCCACGGAGAGAGTTTTGCCGGGGAGAGACGGTTTCGCGTCCATTGTGTAAATTTCGGCATTGTAATAAGAATTTTTTCTCAAATTAATGGTCTTTGATAACTACCTGAATCTAAGATGATATCTATAATAAAGAGGAGAACTAAATCTTATAATGGGGACGCTTTTGCCGCACCGACAGAAGTAGCTGAAAGATTTACGGTTTTTGTCCTGAGGGAAGATCGCGCAGTGCAGCGGACCTGAAGAGAAAGAACTGTTGCTAGGCAACCTGACCAACCTGTTCTGTCATGACGTCACTTCCTCTTTAGCTAATCATATTTCACCTGAATTGTTCTGTTTTAATCGTACTGGCGTCAAGTCTTTAGTCAGTACGTTTGGCAAATTTAAATCACAAATAATAGTTCTATCAATTACTACTGTAATAGTACTTATAATATCTATACAATCTATACAGGCTAGAATATAATCTGTATGGTTTTAGTTCAAAATAGTTCTCCCAATTACTAGTTATCAATCAAGTCATAATAATAATAATAATTAGTATCTATGCACCCTAATCTGGCAAATTGCTGAACAGTTCTTAACAACAAACCTATTATATCTATACTATACTATTCTATTTATACACACACTTCCGGGTCATTGACCTCCAACTCGTGGCCGTGAGTGGTGCGTTCGGTACAGCTCGAAGGGCTCCAAGTACCTGTGTGACGTCATTACGTGCGTCATAGCTCACTCCTGACGTCACGGCCAGGTCTGAGACAAAAGGCTTCGTGGTAAATTCTTGATGCGAAAATTATCTTCAGAAGTTATTTTGGGGAAAATTGCCACGATTTCCTAGAACTATCGCAGAGTGGAACTCACTGTCACCAAGTACAGTAGGGGCTAGAGCTGTGTACCTAAACAAATTTTAGGTACAGGTACAGGTACACGTTTAGGTACAGGTCCGGACCTGAACCTGTACCTGAACAATTCGACCAATTTATATGCTCTTCTGAACTCCTTCAATAACAAAAAAACATAAATAAACTTGATAGTTAAGGTGTATTCTTTGTTTATGGCGAATGCTCAGACAAAAAAATATAGGCAAAACTAAGTGTTTTTGTTTTCATGAACACACTGTCCTTACACAGGGACCCATTGTTAACCAGCTATTTACACATTTGAGGTCACAAATAGGCATAAAATTGGTGTGAAATTATTTAGGTACAGTACCGGTACTGAGGGATTAGGTATTTTGGACCTGTACCTAATCAATTTTTCCGGTACAGTATCGGTACTGCGTACCGGTACACAGCTCTAGTAGGGGCATTGTCAATAGATAGCTTTAAACAATGTCTAGAGCTAGAAGTTCAAGGGTTAGGTGTAACAAGTCGATCGGTGTAATATAGCCAGCTGCCGCCGCGCCGCGTGCCTGCGAAGCTGGTGTGTTACGCCGAAAGGCGGTTATACCGGCTATACAGATACAGATACAGATGGTCTAATTATTAATCAGTCACGCGAAAAAAACTTTTTCGGTTGTGCAAGCTTTTGACATCTCCAAGGGTTTAAGTTGATGTTTATTTTATTCATACATACATGTAACGTTATATTTTGGTTAATTAATTCCCACGATCATGATAATGATCATTCTGTCATACTCATTTTCACCTGAGCAAAGTGAGGAAAGTCGTGTAAAGTGCCTTTCCCAAGGGCACAAGGTTGGTGACATGGCAGGATTTGAACCCGGGACCTCTTGGTTCTGAGCTGAATGCTCTGTCAGTATGCCACACAACCACACATCAATATATTTATCTAAGAATATAAGTACAGTTTACTAATGAAGGAGAAACCTACAGAATATGTACTCAAACATGTAAATAAGTTTGCATAAATTATATCTTTGAAACTTTTGATGATAATCTTTAGCAAATATCCCAAGTTGTCTTTCTACTACATTGTAGTAGTACATTGTACTAGTATGTGGACTACAGAGATAGGATCACTGAGTCTTGTGTGTGTTTGTGAAATTTGTATCATCCACGCTCTCCCTGCAAAAACGTGTACAGCATATATACATATACAAGCATATACATGTGTATACAATTTTATTCTTAAACTGACACATTGAACCATATCAAATCTATTAGGTGTACATCACATCACATTAGACAAGGAGAAAATCACACAATGATGTCTGGTAGCATTCCAATTTTTAAAACAAGAAAATAAAAAGTCATTATGTGCTAATGTGCCAAGTTCACTGTACAGTGTTCTCTGTTGTTTAAAATATAACAAGTGTCAAGCTTCAGTTTCATAAAAATAACACCACATGCTATGTTGAATGATGATCCATATCAGGGAGGTTGACCTCCTTGTTCATATCTTCACTCAAAAAGTCTAAAACTCTTTGCAATCTTTCTCTAAAATTCTAAAGTTAATGTTGGTTTTAGGTACAGGTATTAGGTACAAGGTCCTACATTGTATGTGGCATGCATAAATTTGTGTTTGGAAATACCTATCTGTATCTGTTTCTGGTAAACTTTCTAAATTCTCTGACTGTGCAAATCTGTATCAAGGTGTAAACTTTGTTTAAACCTACCTACCCCCCCCCCCCCACACACACACATCCACAAAACGGGAAGATTATACAAGGGGTCCTACAGAAATTGGTTTGTGAAACATACATGTATGTCAGTGAATTATAAAAATACAGTTGAGTTGTTTGACATCAAAACGTAATCAGTTCTCATATAAAACTCAGGATGCTGCTACCAACTCTCGCTGTCTCTCCTTTGGTGCCTCAGCTTCTGTGGGGAAAACAAAGAACTTCTGGTTTGCTTTCCAAGATTTTAAGGACATTTTCAAAACTCTAAGAATAAGGAACTTTACATCAACAGAAAATAGGCTACTAAGGTAGTGCGGCAACAAATATATTGGTTACGGGGTCAGCCAGCAGGGAGAAGGTTAATAAACTTGACCTTGAACAGGCTGTACTGTTATCTCACCTGGAATCCTGTCTCTGGGAACTTCAGGTAGGCTGACATCCTCATCTGGAACCTGCGGAAGGTCGGCCTAAAATAGAACAACATCAAGGTCAACTATCCTTGTGGTTTTATGTCAATGGTATCAGTTCAAGAGAATTACATTCATAACTATCTAGTGAGGGTACCCATTAGGTTTCTCACCAGGTTTTTTTTACAGCATAGGGGTCAGGTACAGAAGGGGAACTTGACTCCCCAAAACATGACCCCCCTAAGACACTATTTCTCACTTATTGAGTGACAGATTTTGTGAAGTTAAGGTTTTCCCTTTCCTATAGCTTCATTCTTCAAGTTTTTATTTTTTCAAACTTTTTGTAAGACTTAAGAAGGTTCTCCCCCAAAGAACATCCCTATGCTGGTTGAACTACAGCGTGGGAGGCCCCTATATTCAAATAGCCTAGTGAGAACTATACAGTGTTATTGGTAGTACAAAATGTATGTTCCACTCTCTGCAAGTGGTAATTCGAGCCTGCTGGTTACCTTGGTGATCTCGTCCAGCTCGGCTAGCACGGCCGCCTCGTCTTCGTCTGTCAGGATCCCGCCCGCAAGAAGGTCATCTATCTCCTGCAGGGGTCAGAGTGGAAAGGTTACAGTACGGACCAATGGACTAGCCCCATGTTGTAGTGATTGTACAAAGTTGTATGGCCCAATATAAGGGCTGCAGAAATCATCATATGTACCATCTGGTGCAAAAAGAACTTTTTACCCCTACTCCCTATGATTTACCCTTGGCTATGATGATGATGATAATGACCCCTACTCCGCAAGGAGGCGGTGGAGGCTAGAACTTAGAAGACCCACACAAATGTCAACCTAGTCTTGTGTTCTCACAAAACTAGGTCACTCCATGATCTAGATATACAGTAGTCGACATCGAAAATTTGGAGGTACAATATTTCTACCTACCTTTCTAAACAGTGACTGATTGATGAATACTAGTATTCTACTACATGTTACTTTTAAATGACTGATGAACCTCTTCAACAACTTTTGACTTTGATTTTCTATCCTAAGACTTACCCTCTGGTACTCCACTGCTTCCTGGGTTTCATCCAAGATTTTCTCAACATTCTCTAGACTCAGAATCTGGAAGAAAAAAGGAAACAACATTCTGTGTGAGAAGAGTTTTAAGACTTCTTTTCTTTTAGCACAGTACAACATGTAGAGTCTTCACTAGGAAATTATGACATTTTTTAATATGACCAGGAAATAATAATGACCTTTTGAATTACATTTCCCACCCCACTACCTGACCTATGACCTTGACCGTTAACCCCTGACCTTGTGCATCTCCTTGAGGCAGTCGTTGCCCTTTTTCAGTCCTTCCACGACCTTCATCTCGATGCTGGCAAACTCAAGGTCATCAACCTGAGGGGGAAAATGAGCAAAAATCATAAATATGCTCAAAATAAGTACAGGAAGTTTTGAATACACAAGTACATGTATCAATAAACTAAAGCAAGTCGGCAGAATGTACTGCACCTGCGCAAAACCCGTAGTGTATTGTGCATAGCACTTTGGCAGAACGTCTCATACAAGGTTGTATTCGTTCATAATTATATAAGGTTAACACATCTTTAGTTTCCAAATGTGATGTCGGAAAAGATATTGTCTAAAACTGGCAAAATTCTGACCAGAAATCCAACAAAAAACGTGAAAATTTTGGGTTTTGCACAGGCACAGTACGTTCTGCCAAAGTGGTCTTCATCTATGATTTAATTAGAACAGACTAATTTTAGCAGGAATCTCCAACACTTTACACGACTTTCCTCACTTCACTCAGGTGCAAATGAGTACCTAGCTTCGGCTACTAGTAGGGAGTCCCTCGAATAGGACGTTAAATGGAGGTCCCGTGTTTGAGGAGAGCCACACCACGCAAATTAAAGATCCCACCACACCTTTCGAAAAAGAGTAGGGGCATGCCCCGGTGTGCGATGGTCCAAATACTGGTCTGATTATTTACTACAGACTCCAGGAAGAGTAGTGTGAAATTCACACTAATGGAGATCCTAAACAAACAAACAAACAAACAACACTGTTGTCAGACTGGGTCGTACCATTTTCTCCACTTGGTCAATCTGGTTGTCTGTTTTCTGCAGCATGTTCTCCTGGTACCTCTTCTTCTTCAGCAACAGTTTTGCTTTTCTGCGGGTACAACAACATTTCAATTATAGCCATATACAATACATGATCACAAATAGTAGTAGTAGTAGTAGTAGTAAATGGTTTATTGATGAAACACGGGAGAAGTCGGCTTTGCAGTATACACAGTAGGCTATCAAAATACATATACAAGTATATACAAGGAACGCTTAATGTTGTCAACGTGGTTTTACATACTATAGATATAACGTAGTGGTTCAACATCAAGGCAATTAAAAAGCGTTATTGTGAGGAATCATTACAGGTGAGGCTGCTCTCGGATCAAAACCGTTCACAACAGTACTAGTAATACTAGTACATACAATACAGAAATACTAGTAATCTATAACTTGTTCGAACCCGAGTTCCTTAGTACAAGTCACTACCATTTCACAAAGACTGTTACACATACTCCTACTTTCCTAGGACTGTCAGGGATTGGAATACGCTTCCCCAGGCCATACCCGAAATCCCTGAGGCCAACAAGTTCAAGGTAGCAAAATTTCGCGGTCTGAGAAAAATGGACATTTGCAGAACTGAAAGAAAGTCAGCAAATTATTTATTCGCGGTAATGTTAACTTCATGGACTCTGGTATAAAAGTGACTGGGAAAACCGCGAATATAAAAGTACTGTGAATATGAAGTGCAGCTCCAGATGTCTTTACTGAGGGACGACTGCAGATACAAGTTGAATAGCTGGGGGAATGAATCCCACTCTACTATATACTATACAAACCTGGTATGTTAAGCCTAAAGGCAGTTACCAGTTTTGCAAACAATACTACAGATGCTACAGATACTAGTTGCACTACGTGTTCTTTGAGAATTGAACCATTCAGCTATTTGGAATAAGTAGAATTACTCTGTGGGAACCCACTCATAAAAAAAAAGTCAAGGCTGTCCAACAAGACACTACATTACTGACAGTAACCAATTATTAATGGATGACACCCAGCTCGACAGGAAAAACCTGATGGTATAAATGAAGGATAGGAAGAGATGGACATCAGTCATTGGAACCGAGGGAAGCTCGACCTAGTGAGTGAGTGAGTGAGTGAGTGAGTGAGTGAGTGAGTGAGTGAGTGAGTGAGTGAGTGAGTGAGTGAGTGAGTGAGTGAGTGAGTGAGTGAGTGAGTGAGTGAGTGAGTGAGTGAGTGAGTGAGTGTGAGTGAGTGAGTGAGTGAGTGAGTGAGTGAGTGAGTGAGTGAGTGAGTGAGTGAGTGAGTGAGTGAGTGAGTGAGAGAATAACTTACTCCTTCTTGCCATCCTTCAGCAGTCTCTTGGCCACTTCCCTCTCCCTGTCCAGGTTTGCCTGGATTTTCTTCTGGTATTGTTTCAGCTTGTCCCTCTGCTGCTTCAGTTGCTGTTTAAAATAAGTTTCAATTTTCTTGATTATCAAAAGTGATAGCAGATTATAAACTCATTTACTTGGAAAGGGTTGCATAAAAGCATTACACTCTAGCCTAGACACTAGTCAATATAGAACTTGATTATACACAGTGACTAGTTATACTGCAAACATACGAAATTCCTGCGATTTCATATAATGTTAACATAAACCTTTAGTACTTGCTAGTACTACCTTGCCAGTAATTTAAAAGTACCTGAACTTAATTCAAGTAACTTAACAGTCATTATAAATGAAACTATGACCTCTACAATGACTAGAAAACTATAATATATGTCTGATCATTTGTATGTGAGAAAAGAGTCCAAAAAGTTCACGCCGGAAGAATATAAGAGGGAGGGGGGCACACCCAGTTCACACCTACCAAGACGGCCTTGTCTTGTTCCGTAATTCTGGACTCTTCTTTCTTCTTATGCTTGCCAAACAGCGAACCCATAATAAATATCTAAGACTGTCAACTCTTCATAAGCTAGAAATGTCTGTATTTACGGAAAAATTGCCTGGAAAAAACGCAGAAACATCACTGTCAAAACGCAGGCGATGCCATCTTGGATTGTTGACCCGGAAGTGCGTGTATGATAGTTTCCGATAGGTGGCGCTCTTTCGTGTAGTTGGCTATCTCCAAGCAGATGTTGGGTGGGTAACCGTAACGCTTTCTGACTGGTCTCGCTTCGATTTCGTTCAAGATAACTCACATGAATTGCGATAATTTTCTGTATAAAGGTATAAATATATGGCTTATAAAAACAAGATGATTACGTAGATTTAAGGCACCGTGTCAGCTTTTATGAAAGTGAATTTGTTGTTATCTTTGTTTAACCTCTATTATCTCGTTAGTCGTGGTCTTTGGGTGTAAATTCAATCAAAAAATGTAACGTTATATTGTAATCGATGAATCTACATCAATGGTACTTCGACCGTGACCATGCAATATTTCATGGAAAAGTTAATGATTTTTTATCCAAAATTACTGAGTGACTGCCAAGAACCTCAACGTTAAACTCACTGCACCATAAGACTTGATAAAGAAAGTAAGTCACATTTCTGAGTTAATACTCATTCATTTATTCAGAATAGAACCGCATTCCCAGCAAGCAGTCTATTGCGTTTAGAGCACAAGTAAACATAGGTGCTATAAGTTCAGTATTTAATCTTCACCAAAAAATGTCAACATTAATGAAATATTACATCTTATAAATGTCATGTCCATAGTATCACACTATCCGAAAATGAACTGTTCCTCATTGTTTTGATGTTCTAATACATTAACGTTATACATTTGTATAGTCCTCACTGTATCTCTTCTCATGATGTTATCTTTACACTTCTTTCACCGACACCTTTCCAGTATTGTGGAAACAACATCTCAAATCAAATGTAATGTGGCATGGACAAGGTAGATCTAGTTACCTAATGGTTTCTTCATCCCATTACCTTATTACTTTTACATGTACACCATGAAATATCATCATAAGTTCATAACTTTAATATAACACCGAACAACTTCAGTGTCTAACAGTAACTAAGTAATATAGAGGTAATCAATTACTATTATTTCCGTTATGATATATATCATAGTATATGATGATGATGATTATATATCATGCTCTTACCTTAAGCTATTTTCTTATTGTTTTGTGTTATATTGCTGTGGCCTGATGATCATACTGCTGATGTTAACGTTGATAATATAGACACAATATAATTGATATTCTAAGATTAGATATGATAAATAATTTGTCAATAAATATCTATCACCGGGTTAAATAATGAGCAGGTACCTAAAGGTCCAGAATGTGTGACAGGGACTTTGAAGGTATCCAATGTGATTTCAGGTCTGTAAAACTAGAAATATTCTGAATAAGGCAATCTTTGTGATATTGACACATACTGCTTCACATTAGCACATTTGAGTCAGTATTTCATACTTTGCGCTTTTAAAACTGCTGAAAAAGACCCTAGAGGAGTCCTTTATTATTTGGGCGGTACCCTAAAATCAACCAAGGACCCTTCCAGTAACCATTTTCCGTCGGAATTTTGGGAATTTTTGCTCCATGAGGGTCAATATACATTGGGATAGAGTGTCTTCAACTTAGTATGTATATAAATGACTAGAATGTTGACTTTGAAAAGTCGGGATCCAAGCCCTAACTGAAACTGCACTGGATGCCTTTAAGACCGAGGTATGTTTTTGGTATTGACATAATATCATGTAGTAAACCGTGATGCTAAACTAGGCTGAAGCGTGCTTGGGTTTGAAGGGAGTTGCGACACGAGTTTGGTTTCTACATTATGTGGTTGTCCGAAGGTGACCATATCTAGTCCTGTCCCACTATTGACTACTCTGCCAGCATGGTAACAAGCAGTGGGACAGGAGTCTTAAGTTAACGAGACTGGTATCCAGATTAGAATGATGTCATGTCGAGATTAGTCCAGCCACTGAATGAGATTTCATATTTGTCAACAATTCACTTAATATGTTTCTCATTTGAGACCTATAGGGCCAAAACAGATATGCAGTGATATACAGTATTACTGTGCTCGTCCTAAAATCTCAAGAAAAATTTGGATCTGTACTTTTAGATAAGGGCTTATGTTTCGGAGTTGGCTGCCATGTTGTACTGGCATTTATTTGGTTAGTTTGCAGACAGCGTCACAGGTGAGTTTTGGTTTAATGGGTAGACAGAGAATTTGGAGTTTCATTGTGACTTAAATGTCCGTTTGGGTTTTTCTTGGGTTCATTTTCTTTCTGTGAATTTTTCTTTCGTTTGTTACTAGTTTCCACCAGGTGGTGGTGCCGGTGGTACACAGCAAAACTTCCCTACAGGGCACGGGCAGTCAACCCAGTTATGTTTCACTCCAGCACAACCGTCATTTATTGCGCCAAGAATTGGATACATGCACACTCCTCCACATGTATCTTCACAGGAGTGGCCATCAACTGGCGCACAACAATCCTCATTGGCTACCGCGGCGGACGCAATTTGAATAGCATCACACGAGCATCTTGTTGGATTTGGAGTATTAACATGCCATACAAAATTTCCAGCACATTCAAATTCAGGAAAGTCGACCATGAGAGTTGATGCGCATTTGCCACGGCAGAAAAATTCACAAGAAGCTGTAAAAAGTGAAGATGTTTGTTACCAAGGAGAAAGCAACTGGGCATACATATATCACTCCGTACCATAGGTACAGATTAAATATGTCTAATCTTTCCTCGTGTTTCTTCTTCATTCCTCCTTCTTTTCCTGTTATTTCATCAAATATGGATTTAATTTTTATTTCCTTGGCCAAATGACCTAAAAATTGGTGAAGAGGTAGAGTGTGAATTTAATTTTACTTCACCCCAAGTAATGTTTGTGCCATTTTCTGCAAATCTGTACCCGATCACATCTTATTGGTTGACTTTCAACCTGGCTGAAATGGATAAGTACTGTAATCATTACAGTGTATCCTAAATGAAGGATAATCTGTTGAAATATTTACAAAGCTCTGTGTTGATAACTGCAACGAAGTTTCGTGATGTGATATGAATGCTGGAGGAATTTTGCCATACAGTACATTGGATAGCTGTGATGAATAACTAAGTACATATGTTTACTTACTTAGAGGTGACACTAAACAGATGTACTTGTTCTCATCCCTGAAATAAAAATATTTATAATTGTAAAATGTATCATTCTATGAGAAGGAAATAGGAAAATTTCAAATTTCATGATTTAAATTTACTCTCACGTTGTCGGCGAGTAGCTATCCAGACATTCAGTATAAGGATTGGTCCAGTACCTGTATGATATGGAAACAAAAATGTTATGTCAGATAACGAAAAACAAATAAACAATAAATCAAAAACGTTGCATAATTTGCAGACATGTTTTGTTTAAAATGTTCTCCATGAATAAATGAAGTTTGGTATTTTGCAACAGGTAATACTGTTCATAAACATACGTGCAAGGTTCCTCATTTTTTGGCTCATTAACCACTGTATCTTTGGTCTCACAATCATCAAACGTGGCCAGGGTGCCACCCATGCTGGTACAGTCCAAAGTTGCTCCTTCGAAGTCTTTCTTCTCCTCGGAGAAGTAATAACAGGACCCGTCAATTTCTACAAACTCATCAGGACAATCTGCCCAGGCCACTGCAAGAAATAACGGTTTTCACTTATCAAGAAATAACAAAGTCGCCTAAATCGTGTCATCATGGAATCTACATACTAATTTCAGACATCCAATATCTCATTAGATCTACATTCGAGTTTATTGAAAATCAAATAAGGAAAGAGTATTTGTGTGCGTGTGGCGTATACACGACAGAGCGTTTGGCTCGGAACCAAGAGGTCCCGAGTTCGAATCCTACCATACCACCCATCTTGTTCCCTTGGCAAAGGCACTTTATGATTTTCCTCACGTTACTCAGGTGAAAATGAGTATCTGTTCGTGGCGACATTGGTGGTATAAATATAACTTGAAACAAAATTGAGAGTGCCGTCGCCATGTCTTGTAATAAATGTTGGAATAGAAAAAAATGAGGAAATAGTAGTCTCTCAGGTTACCGTTATGTGCCAATACTAGCACAGCAAGAAACAGAAGACACAGCTGGAAGCGCCGACACTCCATCTGGAAAAAAATAGAGAATTGAAAGTCTCAAATCCGTGACGGTATATAAATTCCCGGTGCTCATTTGCCACGATAACTTGCAGTCGCTTCTAGGGGGAAAAGGTCAAATTAATGCTCGATGCAGTCGTAGAGGGGCGCTGGTGAGCGACATTTCAAATCATTTTTGTTTGCTGATTTCGCAGTAAGCGGTGAGCTAAAAAGGAGAGAGAAAAAACTCGCGAACACGAGACAGTTGGAACATAATATAGTACAACGCGACACGCGGCTCAGTTGGTACATAATTCGGGTAAAAAAACATGCCCATCAAACGTGTTTTCATATGCGAGAGACGGAACTTATGTTGTCGCTAACTTATATTTAGCACATCATGAATACAATTATGTCGTGGGTGCAGATATGATGACTTGATTCTATGGCTATCCAAACACAAGGTATATCAAAGTTTATGCGAATGATTCATGAAATATGGAACCCTAGCCTGTAGCCAGGAATTAGGTGGAAATGCCACCAAGATAGCCCGAAATATAAGCGTTTCATAAAACGTATGCAAAGGGCCATTTTGCTATAGCTGCCTGAATAGGATTGAATTCTTTTTTTTTTCAAATATACTTTTGCGTGTATGCTAACTTTATTATCTGGCATGCAATATTATGCGCACAAATTAATGGTAACTACAGCTATAAAACTTTCTCTGTCAAGCGAGGAATGTTGCGATAATTATAAGCTTTCAACGTCTCTAAACTTGAGTAAGGGGTGTCTTCACAATTGTGTTACATGAAAAGTAGATTCACTGGAAAAAGTGTCTGTCTTTAGATGAAATTTCAAAGTTTTGTGCAAAGTATTCATGCTACAGATCAGATGACACCTGGACCTTTACCTCAAGAAAAGTCTACCGCTTCACAAACAATGCCAAGATGAACTAAAGAAATACATAATCCGTTCGCCAGAGATAGCGCTGATGAG